TTTGTCCTTTAATTAATTGTGTCTCCCGAGAGTGCTCGTTAGCCTAAATTAGATGATGAATGGAAACTTGAGTCAATAGACTCGGGGCTAGGCCGGGTATGTAAGTCTTAAAACCTCCCGTAGGGAGGGAAGGCCTGGCTATTAGAAGTGAATGAGAAAAGACGTAATGGGATGATACGGCCTGGAGGGGTATGGAGTTTCTAGATCATGTGTTTGTGTGGCACACATCGAGGGTTTGCTGAGGTTAAAGTAAATGGTTTTTACCAGAGGTTTTGTAAGCTAGCCAGGCAAAAAGTGGTGACCTTTTAAAAGCAGCCCTTGGAATTCATAGATGGATTCCCCCTTGAATATCATGAGAAATGTGATGTATTTCAGGCTGTAGGTATTTGAGAGTTTCTGATAAATATTTGTTCAATGATTGCATATGTTGAAAGTCAAGTACCGGTAGCTTACCGGTCCCTATTGACTAAAGATGTTGAAATTGTGAGTTTGATCCCCCCACACAATAAAGCAAAGCATTTCATCTTCATTGTTTCTCTTAACCCAGGTTTTAAATGCTTATCCTGTAGGAAGTCAATGTCATTTTTGTTGGATTGGCAACTTGTGCATCTTTAAAAGTGGCACCTGGCTTTGAGTGCTCTCCAGAGAGTAGAGATTTTGCACACAATGTGTGTAGGCCTTGTGTGCCGGCAAGCCTGAATCCATTGACCATAGTAATATATAGTATTTCTGTAAAGTGTTTAGAGACACCATCAATTATTTCATACAAAATAAATGCAAATTAATATTGTTTTTATTTTATAATATTCGTGAAAACATCACATCGTGAAGATGTGAAAATTATGAGTTTGATCCCCACACAGCACTCATACATTCTTCATTTGAACAGATGCAATCATAAAATGAAGCCCAAACTTTGCAGTTTTGACATTAGATAGATAAGTGTTTATAACAAAATGTCAAAATATTGGCTTACATTTGAGCACACATAGAAATGAGGACAAAGAAGAAACGGATTTGGATTACACGTACCAGGCCTTCTGCGTCAAACATAACCCTGTTAAGGAAATTGGGGCGATATAAAAATCTAGTTTGCCATTCGCTTCAGTCCTCGTCCTTCATGTATTGATTTCTGAGTGGTCTTTGAGGGGTGAAATATGATTTGTTTTTCTGTCGGAAGTTTTAAAGCCCAACAGGGTTTGGCGTTTGCTTATCATCAGGATAACTAGTTTTCTGAAGTGTTTGATGAATTGTAAAAAAAAAAAGTTGCCAAAAGGCAGTTTTTTTTCCTGTTAGATATGTGCGGGCCTTTTCCCAATGGATTTTTCTTCCTTCTTCCTATGTAAATTACCAATTACTTTCAATCTTATTTCAGCATGAATTTACGTTGTTTTCATGCTCTGTACTCATTTTGTATGTATTTCAATCTTTTTTGTGTCATATGTTCATTTCGTGTGAAGGAAGTAAAAGTTCATTGAATTAAAAAAAAAATGAAAATTGAAATGGAATAACTTAATTTGTATTCTTTCTTCGTATGACAACTAAAATTTGCATCATCATGTGCTTTGCAGAAGGAAAGGAACACACATTAAAAAAATGTTTTCAGCTTGTTAATACAAAAATAAAAAAAGTATTAAAGAAATAATTAAGAAAGAAAATATAGAAATTACAACCTTTCATTGACAACAATGAAGATTATGTACAGACTTAAAATAATTTGTTTCAGGGTTTATATTTTTATGTTCTTATTGATAGTCATCTACTTTGTTTTCTTGCCTTTTTAAGTGATTTATATTTGTACTGATCTATTTTGGATTATAATTGAGAAAGCAAGAAGAAAGCAAGAAATAAAGATAGAAAAACCCTGGAAATATTGAGCTACCTACCCAGCTCCCCTCCCCCAACAAAAAAAACAAAAAAAAGACCCACTCATATTGAAAGGCATCTGTGGACATATTCATAATTCAGATTTTCTTTTTTTAAATTTTCAGAGTGCCTTGGGTTGTAACAATCAGGTTGGTCTACACTGTATTTGATGCTGAATTTCATAAATGGAAATTACTTTTAGTAGTATATTAAATAATGTTCATAATTCGGAAATTAGATATTCTCACATTGTCCGTGGATGCTGCTGAGTGTTTTCTCAGAATGCTTCCATTTGATTCAAATTTGGGCTCTTACCCCCACGCATTCCCTGAGGAGACTCGAAAACACAGTAATTATATTGTTTTTGAGACGTGACCAAAAAGAGAGATGACAAACATCATGAGTACATGTGACAGTTGGGGAAACAAAACAGGAAGTGTATAAAGATAATTTCGTTTAGGGCACCGTCTTCTATCTTAAAGAGAAAGTTGAAAACCTATAAGATGAATAAGAATTTATGACTTTGTTATTCTTCTTTTCTCCCATGTGAAAGAATATTAAAGCATCAATGTCATCTTAAAAGGAAAGCCTTTTAAATTCTCTCATATTTCATGAATAACTGGAAATGCTTTACAACTTTAGCTTTGAACCAAATTTTGATGCCACATCATTTTTTATCTACCGGTAGTCATGATTACAGGACCCTAATCTGTGTTCTGTGATTTTTTTTTCATTTAAAATGATTTCAGCAAGATTTTGTCATTTTGATCAAGCTTAAAGATTCTGATACTTCACAGTATAGAATCATTCTAACTTACTATGATCTATTTATTTGATTCTTCTTTTATTATCCATAGTGGTACTTTCAATAGCAGGTATTGCTCTTCTGGGGGGCCCTGTCTGTATATAGTCAGCAGGTTAGAATCCTTTTTCCCAGGCAGTTTCTTCCCCAATGAAATACTGTCACATTACATGTAGCTTTGATACCTTCCATAGGCTTCCATACAGGCCTGTTTATATCCTCTCACCACTTTTCTAATCATGTATTCAGAATGTGTTCTCCTGTTTACATTAACTGTCTCTTTCTATTGCAATCAATATTTCATCCCGATTCACTTTACCGGGCATGAGTGGTTGAATTCTCTCGGCGTGCAGTCAAAGTCAAATGGCTCGGAGGAAAAAGACTTTGGCTACACTCTCGTGTGCAGGAAATTAGTGTATGTGATGCATTGTTCCATGCATGTGTGTTCTCAGTTATTAAATTATCATGTTATTGAAATTTTATTTTTTAAAGGGAGGAGTGGGGGGGGGGGGGGATTTAAGATAATATCAAGGGGGAGTTGGAACAGTCAATGCAACCAAGGAGTACGTTGGTACTACAAGGCCCCTAAAGCATACTCAGTTATCAATGTTTAAAATACTAGATCCTTTCTTTTACTGAAAATTGCTGTGTTAAAGCGTACAAATTATAACATATTCCTAAGTTTCATTGAAAGATTCTTAATTTAGCTGTAGAAGGTAATTTGCCGGTACGAATAACTAGTGCATCTAGGTACATACTGATTTCACCATGAAATGCACATATTATTCCTGAAAAGCCTGTTGGAGGAAGTCTCCAGATCCTCATCATTGCGTCGCCCCCTACAGGGATGGGGGATGCAACGGGGTAGACAAGCCAAGATGACAAGTCAAATTTCCTCGGGCTCGCTCTAACCAATTTGGTGTCTGAATGGTTTACTTCTGCACATGCTTTTCAAAGGTGGTGATGCTGATTCCTTGGGATAGTGCAAAGTGCTAGACCTTGGTGGAAGTTGGAGATTGTGACAAACTGGAAGCCTTGGGCCTTTTTTTGTGATATTCATTCTCTGTATTGCCCATGCCTGCACATATTAAGCATTTTCTCTTCTTTTTGTTTTATTAGGTTATATCTCTTTTTACATTGAGAGCTTTAATATGTACTTCTCAGTTTCCCTGTAATACCTTATCAGATAAAAGGGAATGGCCAGTATTTTGCTATAATCAAAACCTGATGAAAACTAAATCAAAAGTCAGACTGAAGTTTTATAGAAATTTATCAGATTTGTTTTTGAGACAAAAATACCCTATAATTGCCATTGAAAGTATAGCCTGCATTCTTTTCTATAAATAACATGGTCATCAATGTATAGCTTATCGTCATGTCTGATGACAGCATAAAGGACGTAAACTCTATAGCAGAGTATACTGGTTAACACCCATCTGGCTCTTAAGGAAACTGATTTTATTCTTTGGTTTGTAAATGTCAATGCATGCAGGGAATAATCAAAATTGTTGATCTGTAGACGGATTGCCTGTGTAATCTCAACGTTAGCTGCTTGACATTTATCTCTTCTTTATTCAACCCACCAGGGGCTTTTGAGTTTCAATCTATATTGTGACCTTATTGTTATTTTTGTTTAAATCTTTGTAAAAAGAAGAAACTTTGCAGTTTGTCATATCATCTGCCAGCAAAGCACTAACTCTGTAAATATGAGTTAGCACCCTATCTAGCTACCAGTATGTGTGTGTGCGTGTGTGTGTGTGTGTGTGTGGGGGGGGGGGTGAGGGTTGGGGTCCTGTCCCAAATGAAATTGCCAACAAATCAGAATTTGATAAAAGGCTATCTTTTAGCTATTTGGCAATTGCCTTAGGTAACATAGCAGAATGTAGTTTGATTTGAAACAAATCAGACCGATTAACAAATGTCTTTGATCAGACTAGGATGTAGCAAGCTGGGGCAGGCATGCTCTGGAAGTGGTAATTTGGACTCTGATGCCTTCAAACCTTGTTAGAAAGATTTTGGATAGGGGAAAGATGAATGTTGATGGACCAAACACATTCTTTTTTTGAAATGCTGCATTTTCATGTGCCATGGCATTTTAGTTAACAACCTACCCGTGCCCCTTTGACTAATAAGTAATTGTTGACACTATCTGTTACCCATGGCCATGTTTTTTTTTTTTTTTTTACATTGCTATAAAGTTATTTTCCATATTATCAGAAGCATGGTACATATGGGCTCCAAAATTACAGAATTTCAAAAGGGGCTACCTTTTTTTTTTTTTATGAATGTCGGAAAATTCAAACCTTTTCTCCATTTAATTTTTTTTTTACAGCCAAAGCATTCTGTTCGACTACTCCAAGCTCTGAGACTGATTCCACGCAGACATGGGCCTGATGTCACCTTCAGCTTTCCTGGCAAAGATGGCGCTGTAAGTATCACCATTTTGTCTCAAAACTTTTTTCTTCTCTGTCTCTGTCTCTGTCTCTTTGTCTCTGTCTGTCTGTCTTTCTCTCTCTCTCTCTCTCTCTTTATCTCACTTTGTCTCTCTCTTTATCTCACTTTGTCTCTCTCTCTGTCTTTCTTTATTTTTATCCCTCTATTTCTTTCTCTCTCCCATTTTATATGGTTTGTCCTTTTTTTTCCCAAGATGCATGAGATGTAAGTGGTTGAAGCTGGAATACTGAAAAAAAGATGAAATAAACAACAATTACATCTACATCAAAATAAACCCTCATTATATCACACCCCCACCTGGCAGATGTATAAGTACAGAAAGAAAGCTTCAGATGTGAAGAAAAAAAGCAATTTCAGATATAAAATGTCATGAAGGACAAAATGGAGTGTCGGAGAATAGGAGAAAGAGGAGATGGTCATTAGAGCTATATGAAGTATCACTTAGCACATGAAACATGAGACGATGAAAAACAAAATTCAATTCATGAGTCCCATAGTAGGGGAACAGTTTTCTATGTAAACCAATATGAATCTTAATCAAGCCTATCCTCTGACATGACAGTCCATCCTTTCATTTTTAGAGACCCCTTTCACCAAAGCATTAATATAGTTCTTTTTTTTAACTCAGCAATAAGAATGTCTCTTGATAAACAGATCGGGTACCATGACGACGTGGCTCCGTTCTGTGATAATTGCAAATGCGAAGTGTGATTATAAAGAGATGGCCTTGCGGCCCATTTTCAGTTTTGAGTACCCTTTGTAATATAATGTTAATGTTTTTATCATTCATGTCTTTCAATTTCAATAATTAAATATATAGAAAATAGTGAAATTAAAAAAGAAAAATGGAAAAGAAAAAAAGGAGACAGGACATGTCTCATTGAAACATTGGGGGTAGGAGGGGAATAAAAGGCAAAGATATTTTTAGGGTGTAATTGAATATATTTGATATTTCAGTTAGTAGCAAGTATATAAAAATGGATTAAATTCCAACCTTGAAAGACATAAAATGTATTACAAAATAAAATTGTACTTTTCATGTCATTTCCATGGCAAAACTGAAATCATACGAATCTCTTGGTATTAAAGTGAAGTGAATGTTAACCTACTTCTTCTGAGAGCTGTTTGAATCGTGTGAGGCACAAAGGAGTGAGAGATGGGGTAACCAGGCAGGATATAGTATTACCCTTAATGTACTCATTTATAGAAAGCCGATAGGTTGATTAGGTTAATTCAGGTCCTCTAGACTCATTATTGGGTAGTATAGACTGTGACCAAAATTGCATTTAATTTGGTGCCCCTGGGAGTCTAAAGATATCTCTCGAGAGTTTCTCATTTCCTTGTTTTGCTCTTCGTTAATGTTACCGTTTTTGAAGTAAGGTAACAGACCTCAACTTTCCAGAGGCCTCACAGGATCGTTTTGCAATTAACCCCTGTTTGCTGGTTGCAATGCCCCCCTCGGAGCCACAAGGATGTTAACTCGTATACTTTCAAGCTAATCTTGAGCTCTGGTATGGGCATCGTATGTCGAGAGAACATGGCTATAATTCATTCGGGATTGTTCATCCTGCAGTAGATTGATTGTTTGAACCAGTAAAAATAAAAATAAGCTCACAAAAACTTGCTGAAAATCATCTTCTATAAAAACCAACACTCTCATTTGCACAGTGGCCTGTGTTAAGCACAGGGTGTCGGGCCTACTTGCCCTTATTTCCTTATCTTTCCATGCTCATTACTCAGCCCTATACATTTACTACCAAAATCGTTTGGCGCATGTCATTTATTTTTAATCTTGAACATTCAGGGTAAATTTTGTTGGATTCTGTGAGAATTGATTTGTTATCATGACCAGAAATCAAGTTTATCTATAACACAGAGTTAACGTCCTTCTGGCTCTAAAACAGATGATGTGTAGCCTACGACCAATTTTAGACGTGCCCATGGGGTGGGAGGATGAGTGGGAGCTTTATCACCTTCTGACTGTCCAAGATGGCCCTGCCTTGGAAAAAAGTATTCTAACCTGCTGATTATATACAGACAGGGCCCCCCAGAAGAGCATTACCTTATCTGCTTTAAAAAAAATCAAGGATTGTTCTCTTACTCTGTCATCCAATAACTTTTCCAATTGAACAATTACACAGATTATATTGATGTTGAGTAGTCGTTTTGATACCTTTATTTAGCCTCAGGTATGATCTGTTTGTTTTAACCTAATATATTTTTGCTTTATTACTTGGAAAGTCCTTAGGACAACATTGTTTGGAATGAAAGGAAATAGCTTTTGTCCCAAGGGGTCTAGAAGAAAGAAGATACATCCATGAGATATTACCTTGTATTCATTCTATTTTTTCACCATTAATTTTCTGGGTAATATGATTGAAAGGAAACATGCATATTCTTGCTAAATGTCTTTTTTGTTTTTTTAAAGAAATCTGAGAAATTCATCTTCACCAAACCATGCATGATTGCAAATAGAAATACATGTTTAGTGTAGAAATTCATTATATTAAGAATCAAATTTCATCTAAGACATGACTCAAGTATGGTAGGTACAGTCATTGAAAACAAGGACAGTATTAAAACATGTAAAGGCATTAGCGCAGACAGATTATGTAAATTAGTCTCATAGCACACAGTAATGTTTCCACATACTAATTAAGTACATTTCATTTAGATACTGTAGCCTGTCAGGTGCACCGTAGCTTTAACTGTTCCGAATTCCAATCCTAACACGGCTGTCTCATTGTGAGTCGTTTAAAAGCTTTGTGCACCTTAACATTTATCATTCCAACAAGACAACGTGAGGATCACAAAAGGATTTTGCCGCAGGATGGTCGGGTCCCTTGTGGGATTACCCAACACTTGTGCTGGAACAGGTATTCCACCTGCTGTCGAGGCAAAGTCCTTTGGTGACGGCTGGCCCTTATTTGGAGTAACACCGTACTGCAATCTTGCTGCTCAAATGGTAGGATAAAAGCTTTCGTTCCACCGGGAGCTAGATCGCAGGAAGATGGATTCCTTTTTGTTGCTTGACTTACAAGATTAACAGGGACACTTTCAAGGGCTTCTTTGAAACCCTGGACTGGAAGAGGGAAGCGGTGAATTAGGAAAATAAAAAAAGCAGATTTTTCTTGTCATCCCTGATTTTCAATTGCCCATTTTGGTTTTCCCTAGAAGACATTTTTGTGTGCAGTATATCCATCCAAGCATTCTGAATTGAAGTGTCTTAATAGTATTGAAATCACAAAGGGCATTTAGAGTTAGTACCCTAGCTCCTAGCGGACAATGTGGTGTTGTATTTTTACTTCTTCAAACAATTATATTTCATTTATTAAGTGGAAAGTGCAGTATGCTATCAAAGTTGATCAGTTTACATATATTTGATTTGGAAGATACACTTTCCCTCTTCTTCTTTTTCTCTTTTAAATACTTTTTTGTGAAGTGAGAACGTGAGAAGTTCACATCTAACTCGGATAGGGTTGAGACAAAAATCAATGCGGGACGGGAGTTTTTTCAGTAAAGGGCTAGATTGAACAGCTTGTTTTCCCCTTCAAATTTACAACACTGGTGAAATAAAAATTTATCATAAACCTAAACCAATAAGCATAGTAAAAAATAGTTGCAAAATTGTCTAGAAAAAAAAAAGGATTTTAAATTTGTCAACATTTTACAATTTGTAGTGCTTCTTCCCCTTTTTTTTTTTTGGGGGGGGGATAATACACTTAACAATAGAGACAGTATGAGCTGAAATATTTTCTCTTTCTAGTTATGCATACGATTTTTGTGATAGAGCTCTAAAACAAAATTTGTTTTAATGGACCACAAACTGTGGGCAATTATCTATAATTACTTCAAAATAAGCAATGCATTTTAAAAATCTCTTGGCTGTCTGAAGAAATGCACATGCGACCCATACAGAATAATGGGAATAAGTAGCATTTAGGTGTTGATCAGATTTGTGTTAGTAGTTTTCATAAGTGACCTAACATCAGCTTGAATGATAACAATTTAGTGAGGCTTTTCAATGGTCATTTTAGACTTATTACCTTTCAAAAAGATTGTGTGAACGCTATTTGTTCTTCATATTAAAATTACTTTATTCTTTCATGTACATGCGATATTGTACATATATCAAATATGGATAAGATATGCGGTTCAGTATGGTCTCTAGATTTTGCTTTTTTAAAAGAGAACATGGGTATGCATTATTACACTGGCTGCCAAACCAGTTATAGCTTCATGCCTTAAAACATCACTTTTAGTCCATTTGAAATGAAATCTAATCTGAAAAGTCAACAACCCCTCCGTCCACAAATCATACGTTAGAGCATGATGGCCGTTAACACAGACCATTTCTTTTTCTCGCATGCCCTTGCGAGCTAACGAAAGAAAGAAATTTAGGTTTGTAATGAGATAGCAGTACAGTCAATTAGTGCAGTCCATTAGAAAGCAGCTATCTTGTTCGCACCATTACCCCTAAAACCAAAGTCATTAGAATTGGATCTATAACCGAGTCATCATGATAGGTACCTCGGAGTCGAATCATCAAACTTAAAACAAAATTCATCCTAGCTTTATATAAAGTGATTGTAGCCTTTGGGTGGTTTGGAAAGTATGGAAGATTTTGAGTGTATGTGGTTTCGGGTCTAATGTAGATTTGATTGTGTTGTAAAGTGGTAATAATGTGCAGGGATGGCTGTACTGATTACAAGGGATGTGATGGTGATGGTTGTGGTGATTATGATGGTGATGATGGTGATGATGGTAGTGGTGGTGGTGGTTGTGGTGGTAAAATTGATGTTGAGGATGATGATGATGATGGTAATGGTGATTAAGATGATGATGATGATGATGATGATGATGATGATGATGATGATGATGATGATGATGATGATGATGATGATGATGATGATGATGATGTAGATGTAGATGTAGATGTAGATGAAGATGAAGATGAAGATGAAGATGAAGATGAAGATGAAGATAAAGAGGAAGACGATGACGATGACGATGACGATGACGATGATGATGGAGGAGATGGAGATGGAGATAGGGAAGAAGCAGAAGATGATGATTATTAATATTATTAATATTATTAATATTATTATTATAATTGTGGTGAGTATCAAGAAATGATTAATACAAAGACAAGGATAATGGTGATAGTAATTTTGATGATGGTGATGATGATCATGAAGATGGTGGTGATGATGGTGATGATGATGGTGGTGAGAATGGCGTTTAAAACTATATGGCTAGTAAAGAAGCACTGTGTCTATCCCTTGTCAAAACCTTACATATGCTTAATAGTGTTATGATACTGTAACCCAAGCAAGGGTATACCCTTACAAGTACAATCTGCATATCATGCATGTATGTGACGAACACCTTTTACAATGATTCTCCACCATACCTCCCTAAAAAATGGTTCGAGCGTGATCGTGTTACTGGCATCCCATTGCATCATGAAACTTCATCTGGGAAATCAATTCCTCTCCATTACTACCCTGTCGTAGACCCAGGAACCATCAAAATACAAAACCCTCTCCTGATCTCTCTATACCCTTTTGCGGTGGGACGGACATGATGAATGTTACAGAATTGAGGCCCTTCCTGTAAGTGAAACCCACACTGAGATGTGACAATGCAGTTTTTCAAAAAAACTTTGTGAATAATTTATATGCAATGAAATTAGCAATGTGGTGTGAGGCAACTTCAATTTTGCTTTCTGATTCATATTGAAATAATTTGCATATTAATGTGACTTTTGGAATAATGTTATCATTAAACAAAAGAAATGTGTTTGGTTGACTGATGGAAAAATTGTATGGATACTGCCCCTACACTGTTGAGAATATTTGTATACCTTCGTTTGTAACAAAATACAAGATAATGATGGTATTTTTCAGTGTATATTAGCACTCTATCTTTTCACTTATGCATCAAATGTTTAAAACCAGAAATGAGTATAAAAGAAAAAGATTGTAGCAGGCATTCTGCTTCAATCGTGAATTTGATATCCTTGGCATTTAAGATTTTTCCCCCTCAAAACCCACAGAGTTAGGTGGTAATACTTTAATGCCATATTGATTTGATTTGATTTGATTTATTTATTTCTGTTTGATTTTCTTTTTCTTTTGCATTTTTACAAGTATATAACAAACAAATATTGCAAATTTACACATGACAAAAGAATATATGTAGAATAAGGTAAGGCTGGGTGTAACTAATCGAGAACATCAAACAGGAGGGTTGACAAAATAAGCAAAGCTTGATAGTATGACTACCCTCAAAGGATACATAATAATACAAATATGGAAGAACAAAATATTGGTAAAAAGGGGGAAAAGACAGAAAAAAGAAGAGAAAAGAAAAAGGGGATGCACATCAATATTCACAGACTTATGTGGTAGTTGGATTTCAAATTGATATATAAAGATTTTAAATAAGAAAAGAAATGCAAATTTGAATACTGAGTGGCCAACTTGGGATACAATAGAATGAGAAGACTCTCAAGGTTCGGACAGTAAGAATGTGAAAGTAAGTATTGCCTAGAATGTATCCTGAAAATGTACCTTGCTTTTAATAATCGGCTTGCGTATTGAGTGTTTTATGTGACATTGAAGCTTCCTTTTCAGGGGCAAGTAATCCGGTGTTTGAATAGATCAGATTATTTATATCTGCACCTAATGCATTAGTGGTTTTTAATAGGCCTCTAAGAGGCTTTTCCTATTTTATAGAGACATAAGAATTGAGATTTTTTATGTTATTATAACAAAAGTAATGCGATAAAATATTATTCTTGTTGGATGAGATTCAGAGGTATATAAAGTAACTTTTGGTTAAAACTAGTGCTTAGAATCGGGGGTAGATCTAGGATTCTGTAAAATTGTGGGGACACAATTATGAAAAATTTGACAAAACAAAGCAATGGGGAAAACAAATGAATTCATAATGATAATTACATCTTTAGGTGCTTTTAGGACTTCAATGTACCCAAGATGAAAAAAAGATAACAAAGCCTGAGAAAGAAAAAAAGAAGAAGAAACAGATTGATGTCATAGATTCCATAGAGGGCATAAGTATCGAATGTGACTAAAATAAGAATATATCTGTGTCATTCTTCTTCCATTACATGCCAGAAGGGGTATGGATTTCTCTGTAATGCTATACATTCATCAGTTTAATACAAAATACAACATATCTTTTACATGGCCTTGTGTAAAAAAAAAAAAAAAAAAAGGGATCAGGGAGACTTTTTTTTGCATTTAAACATTAATGCTGAACAAAGTGAGAGAAGAGAAGGATAATTCATAGTAAATGGGCTATTGAAAGTACAGTAGTCATTATTTTACAAAGAATAATCATAATCATAAAAACAGTCATAAAAATAATCATCATGAAGATTGTTATTCTCATTTTTTATGAAACTGCACTTTCATATAATATTGAGAATGGAGCAGATGATTTAATTGCGTGTGCTGCGAAACTGTGATCATAAGTACATGTATACATGCATCATACATAACAGTGAAAAATACATGGGAGCAAGGAGTTATTTATCTCTGGATAGCTCCATAAAGTTCTGATAAAGAGCTCTGGTTAAAATACAGAATATTATTGAAAGCTATTTTTAACTGTGAACATAAAACCTGGCTTTTTGTTCTCATTGTGATCTCAAATGAATTTAGGCAAGAGCATCTTGGAGACGCGGTTGCTTTTGTCTTATAATACTTATATTTATTCCATGCGATATTTTTGGAATGATTATGAATGCAAATGTTTTATTTTATTGAATATTTTACTTCTCTTTCCTTTATATATCCAGGCTATAGCACTCCCGCCCATTGCCCGATGGCCTTACCAGAATGGATTCACATTCTCCACCTGGTTTAGAGTGGAGCCTATCAATACCAACATTGAGAGGGATAAGCCATACCTATACTGGTAAGAAATCTAGTAAATCTAGTCTGGGCCCTGTAACATAAACAGTTACAATTAATTAAATCTCCTTCAAATCTATCATAACTCTTCAATCAATACTAATAGTAATTTACATTTATTTTTTATGTCACATGGCAAGATATGATTAATTGCAGCAAGATTGGAGCTAGATACAATAGATCTTTATGATTGATTGTGAGTTTATTTTTATATTACAGGGCAAGAAAGATAGGTTTTGAATCTTCACATGCATTCTCTGCTCCTAGTATGAAAGTGAGAGCTACATGCATGCTTTGTAGCACTCTTGCGGTTTTGTATTTTTAGTTTAATGTTGAAACAAAAATGATGTCTGAATTATAGTCATCATCTGTTGCAGCAATATAACTATGGTGGTGATCCGTATGGTCATCAAATCATCATCACCATCATCATCATTATCATCACATGTTTTACCACCACCACCACCACCACCACCACCACCACAAGATACAATGCAATCACATTACGATATGACTAAGACTATGACCACAACTACAATTACACAAACTCACAAAATGCATCCATTTCTTTTCATATTCCAGCTTCCGAACAAGCAAAGGTGTTGGATACTCTGGTCACTTCATGGGGTCGTGCCTGGTTGTGACCTCTGTCAAGGTCAAAGGTAAAGGGTTCCAGCACTGCATCAAGTATGACTTCCAACCGAGAAAGGTGAGAAGCACAGCATCTCTTTTGTTACCTTTGCCCCAGATTTTCTTCTTCATCCTTGCCCTCTTTCTTGGGTGCAGTAACCAAGCATCATTATTGGTAACCTTGACGGTTCCTGCGAAGAAATTGAAAGAGAGAGAGAGATTAGGCCTGTCTTCATCAGCTTGAGTTAGCCAAATAGCCCGCTATTGTGTATAGCCCGAAGTTGCAAATCGCGTCTTCATCAGCTCAAAACTTGAGCTTAGAGAAACTTGCTTGAGAAATTTGCTCAGTGTTTACGCATAGTGTGAGTCTTTCGGCTGGTGAAGACGCGAACCACAAATAGTGGGCTATTTTGTTAACTGGCTCAAGATATCTTCACCTGCCAAATAGCCCGCTATTTGTGATCGGGCTAATTTGCTGAATCAGAAATAGCAGGCTATTTAGCAAACTCGAGCTGATGATGACAGGCCTAGAGAGAGAGAGAGAGAGAGAGAGTACAGAATGAGCTCCTGTTACCGTTATGGCTGTCTATCCAGGCTTTTTGGAACTGATCAAAATGTGCCCTAAATGCTTGTCTTGTATCTTCTAAAGGTTACTAGTACTAATACTAGTACTCCAAATCAATTGAAGGTCATTGGATAATTGAATATATATGTTTGCAGATTTGCAATTAATAAAGATCAGTCACAACTCGTCAAGACTACGAAAAGAGGTCGCGATTTGTACATGTACCTGCACTTTTCTTTGTAATTGGACTTCTATTTGAGAGAATAGACAATTAGTGCATTTTCCTCGGAGTAATCATAAAACAGGTCAATCCCATCTCTTAAAGACTATCAGGTACAAGTGCAGGAAGGCATAAGAAATGTAAATTGGAATGTTTTCCTATAGTAAAAGGGGATAAAATCCCATTTTAAGAAGGGAAAGGGAAGAACTTTCGACATTTTGAGACAAGCCTACCTACATCAGGATAAAATTCCCCAGACCCTGTCATTCCATCACCAATAGAGCTAATTGGCTGGTGCACAAAAGAACACATTTTGATTAAAGTGTGGAGTTACAACCAGGGGGATGGAAATAGCCACTAGAAGGGCACCGGATCACCTCGTAGTGCAGTCAGGGTGAAACGTCCAAGAGATCTATTCCTCCCTCAACATAGTATTTCAGGGTATTCAGACGAGAGGAGTTTTATATTTTCAACTCAAAAGATCTTTATTGAAGTTTTCTTTTGGTATGAATATATTTCCATTTATGTATCCATTTACCATGTAAATACCACTTATTTCCATTGCCAGAAGCATGGGCAATGAAGATGAACCTTTTGAACCTTATGACCCTCATAAAGAATATCGTATAGAGAATTATGGTACAGTGAAGGTTGCGTACACATGGGATGTTACTTAAAGGAATACTATTTTCAAAAATTGTTTTGGGTAGGTTCATTTTATATGTATAATAATGTCAGCTTACATGTATGTCATTACCATTGCTCGAGTGTAAGAAATAATGGCTGGTGCCTGACATATCAGCATGGGTTCACAATAAGCTTGGCCAGTCACTCGTTCATTCCCTAATATTTTCTGATGGCCAATAGACCCTCTTTTATAAGTTTATGGGGAAATGAAGCTTAAGGCTCTGTTTCACTATAATTAACATTCAGACTAGGGAAAGTGAATATTTGTTTTGTTTTGTAGCTACTTATATTCAGTATATGTGATAAAGTTGGCTATTGTGAATGAGGGGGGGGGGGGGACTGATTCAGTCAGGCAGTCAAGGAGGCAGTTCAAAGCCTTTTGTTGGAGTAACATATTCCGTCTTGTGAGACGTAATGAGAGCTCCTTCATTCCTTTTCCATTCATGTGTATATTCCCACTGAGAAGTAATTAAACCTTCTCCTCATAGTCTCTGACATAATGATACTTGCCATAATACTATATAAGAGTTAAAACGTTTCTTTAAACATGCAATATGAGATCTTAATTGTTGATTGTGATGTAAAATTGACTTGCCGGGAAGATACCCATTGCATTCTTGTTTTTCTTTGGAAATGTTTTGTTTTAGCTTCTCATTCTGTAAAAAAAATGTTCATTGATTCTTCTCTGATCTTGCTGTGCTAGGGCATATTTCATAACCAAAATTTGTTTTCTTTTTACAAAATCATTTAGAAAAATAGAAACACCTACAGACTAAATCATTCATTTGTGATATAAATTGGAGGTCCTACATGTATTTCTGATTTCAGTGGCACATGGTGATGAAGGTCCATGTATACCACTGATGGATGACAAGTGAGATTTGAATTGAAAATTGACAATACAAAACATGACCCCATAATACATATATGGTACATTATACAAAAATAAATAAAAAGCATTCTTCTTCCCAAATAATTCAGAATCATTATATGTAATTGATATGTTTCTCCTCATTATAGTGGTACATATACTACATAATGGTCACAGTTGTCCACATGTATAATAGGATGATGAGATTTGTGTAAAATCATGATTATATTAAAGATGAAACAAGATTACATATGGTAAAACTATACATTTACAAGAAGAATACTGTACATTGTTAATGCGCTTCCCTGCACTTATGTGTATTTTACAATATATATATATGTGCAATAAACTTGAGGTTTTTTTTTCTTCTGTTCTCAGTGGTACAACGTGACAGTGGTGCATGTGTACAACCGATGGAGGACCAGCGAGATCAAGTGCTACGTCAACGGAACCCTCGTGTCTTCTGGTGAGATGCAGTGGTATGTCAGCACTAGTGATGTAAGTACTCTTAACCCCTTGACTTCTGAATTATCCAATTACCATAGGCCTGATACAGGGACCACTCTGCTCCCGTATTCAAAGGGTTAAATTGTTTTACTTACTCTTAATGTGATCATTTTCTCAAAGATTGATATTAGAACTGCAATTTATAGCTTTGATTGCCTGCAAACAACACACAATTTATGTTGATGTCCTACTTAATGGCCACAATGTCTTACCTTAAAAATTGATATGCAGTACTTTAATCATACTCTTTTATAGTTATGAGACGGTTGAAACTATGATCCCTATAATTGACCAAAGTGGTCAGCTCATAAAGTGATACGTTTGAGCCCCAGCATATACATGTACTTGTATTTCAAAGCAGAACTGTCATTATAGTTGAATATGCATTATCCCTCAGAACCAGTTTTAACGTAAGACATCATACATCATAAACAATGATGTGATGAAAGAATGAACAAAGGGATAGAATGAGAAAGAGAGAGAGAGGGAGGGAGAGAGAGAGAGAGAGAGAGAGAGAGAAGCGGGTGTGGGGAGAAAGAGGGGAGGGAGATAGAAAGAGAGATAGAGAAAGACACACATAGGGAGAGAGAGATAAAGAGAAAGAAAGGAAGAGAGAGAGAGAGAGAGAGTGAGAGATGCTAGGAGGGAAAAATTGTACTTTTTAGACCAAATAGAAAATGCGATCATTTTACAAACAATTTGATGACATCCTTTCCTTTCGTGACAGCCATATGACAAGTGTTTTCTTGGTTCGGCGCCCACGGCAGACAAGGAGAGAACCTTCAGTGGCCAGCTGTCATCTGTGTATCTGTTCAGTGAAGCCATATCACCACAGTGTATCCATGGAATATACCTCCTAGGTCCAAACTACAGGGTAAGAATGATATGTGAGACTGACTTAGAGAGAAAAGAATAAAGATAGTGCTGACAAGAAAGAATCAATCTCATTCGGTATCTTATTTAGTATTTGAAATATGACATACATGTAGCTGCAGTAATTGGAGCAGTCACTTTATTCAAGTCACTTTATTCATGCACATGTTTACAATGTATTACACTATCATTTCTTATAATAATCAGTAAACCTGCTGTAATATTCTTCTGGTTCCAACTCCTTATAACACACAGTTTCTTTATTCCAATTTTGCAACATACATGTAATTAAAAATGCAGTATGTGCAGAGAGCTGCACAAAATATCAGCACTCAGCATTCACCAAGGAGAGGTATCATACTTGAGTGGTTATACACTTGACTTGGGTCCCAAAGTCCTTGGTTCAGATTCTTACTCAGCTCCAATGTTTTCTTGGCAAGATAGGAAGCTACATGTGTCACTATTGACCCAGATGTTCCTGGTTGGATGTATGCCTTGAAGTGTGCAGTGTCCTCATAACTGTTGCTGAAACAAAAACTGAGTAATATTATTTTTAAGGTCCTCTAGAAGATCATAAATTTTGTGCTTACCATACATGTGTAAGTGTCGATGGATAGTCAACCTGTTCAAAACGTCGAGCCACTCCTACTACTCATATATGCACACTCAAGAAAGAAAGATTACAGATAGTCCTTTTCAGGACTCCCCAATTCTACCCCCTCTCTCTCACATTGTGCAACCGTAAACCTACTGTATACATGTGTAAGTGTGCTTAACAAAAGAGATATATCATTGTTATCGTATTCTTTAATATGTACATATAAATCTGTTTTTTTCTCTTCAGAGTCACTTCAAGTTCCCATCGGAGAGCGACGTGAGCCTTCCAGATCAGTTCAAGAAGGTCCTCTACGATGGCAAGCTGACCAACAGCATCGTGTTCCTCTACAACCCTGCTGCTACGGAGTCTCAGCTCTGTCTGGAATCATCACCCAAGGGCAACCCCTCGTTCTTTGTGCATTCTCCGCATGCCCTCATGGTTCAGGTATGTACAGGCGCTTGCCCTTTTGGAATGGTCAATTTTATTTTGATGTCTTTTAGGCCAGGGCTTTTTTTTGGGGGGGGGGGGCACTAGTTCATAATGCTTACGATGCCTACACTGTAACCTCTGCTGATCTATGGTTTGTGCATGAACAGATTGTATACAGCTGTGTGCCATGTTATTCATGTAGATTATGGCTTATTATCTAAAGGAAGGATAAGAAAAAGAAAAGCTATAGGAAGAGGAATGAAGAGGAAAGAGAAAAGGAAAGAGCAAAATAGAGAGGAGCAGAAGTGGAGAGAGTTAGAATGGGAAAAGGGGAAAAAAGAAGAATAAGAAACAAGTAGATGAGAAAGAGGAAAAGGACGAAGATATGTCAATGGAAATAGGAAGGCAGAAGTACTGGAACAAAAAAAGAGCAAATTAGCTGAAAAAAGTTAACATCCATAAAGAGGGAACAAGATAACCATGGCCATAATATTTTCGATACTACCGGTACATCCGCAATGAGTAATATATTGAGCAAGATAACACTTGTTTGTAATTTCTTGATGGTAAATAATAAACTCATAATCATTTCTTGTAGGATGTGCGAGCCATCGTGACGCACTCCATCCACAGCACATTGCATTCCATCGGTGGTATACACATGCTGTTCCCTATTTTCACTCAACTAGACTTCATCCATCAAGAACTCAGTGCTAAGACTGAAGAGGAGACTCCTGCAGTATGGTAAGAAAAAGGATGGAAAAGAAAAAATCCTTAAAAAAGTCATTTATGACATGTAAATTGTACATATGTATGTATATCATAAATAGTTCATAAAATAGTGAGTGGTAAAAATAGCCAACTGACTGTTTGCCAGATAAAATAAAATCATGAAAGAAAGAAGAAAGAAAGATGTACACTGGACCAAAAGTATCAGCATCCCCCTTCCCCTGTGCTATATCAGCACTAGAAAATGGGTAGGGAAATATTATAGACTGAAAGCTTCATGTGTCATGTCCATGTCTTATCCACTACCTAAATTTAAAATGGCAAAGGCATGGTCAATCTACTAATGATACAGGGAGAGGGTGAGAATGTGGTTATGAAACAAGTGCATGGCTTCAGTATTACAACACCGCATCTCAGCCTCGGTAGTAATTATGACGGTGTTCTGTTCTCCTTCATGAGAACCCTCAGATGTGATCGAACATTTGCTCTGGCGACATTTGACATCAATAATATGGAGTAATGACTCGGATTGTGATTTGAGTTTTGGATAGGTTAAGTGTAAGGGTTAGGATTGTTGAGTCTAGGGTTGAAGTTAGAAATTCAAATAGTGTAAGATATTGACCCCTTGTGCCTGCTACACGTGTTGTACAATCCTATGAATCTGTTATCATATTCCATTCGACACTTTCTCCTGAATTGAGCCCCAGAGCAAGGTATGCCAATGTGTGCCATGTCACCTGTTTGATGAATACTAATTACCAGAAAATCTTTCCCCCCTCCTGCAGTCCTCTGCTATTAGGATTACTGTGTGATCTACTGAAGGGTTCCATGTCAACTCAACAACAGATGGTCCATGGGCGAGGCTTCATCATCCTAGGCTACATCCTACAGAAGGTAATATATCAACCCTTATACAGTGAAACCTGTCTATAAAGACCACACGGGGGAGACAAGAAAGGTGGTCTTTATAGGCAGGTGGTCTTCATGTATAGGTTTCTTCAGTACATGTTTTAATGAGAAACCATTTTCAATGGAAACAAAAAATGCGGTCCTTGCAGACAGGTGGTCTTTCTATACAGGTGGTCGCTAATGCAGGTTTGACTGTATCAGTATCATCTGCCTAGAGCCAAAAGGGCATTAACACATGGCTTTACATTGAGTGAGCACCCTTCTAGCTTTCAGCAGGCAAGAAATCCTCAGAATTTTGAGTTCTTGTAATGAAAATGCCTTTCAAGGATTTTTTTTGTTCAGTGAAATGTTAACAATTTTTAAAATGATTTTGCTGAAAAGAATGATTAGCACAACCATATATATCTACATCGGGAGCATGATTGATAGGCAACTCTGAGAAGCCAGATTTTCCAATCGCACAAACTCTATCTTTTCAATCATAATGCTATTATCAATCATAATGCTATTATCAAACCAATTCCTTTTTGGGGGTTGCTCGCAAGAGTGTATGCCTCTACTCCACATAGATTTTGTTTGAATGAAATAATGTGTCATTCTACCAGAAGATGATAATTTAGTTTGTATTACCCACTCTACTTCAGTCATGCATGGGGGTGCTTGGTAAATGATGATCATGCTTTGAGCAACTCAATAATCAATTTGTATTTCGCACCATTTAGGCCTCACCACAGCACATGACAGGTACTGTCTTGGAGCTGTTCCTAGACCTGGCCAAGCACTTTAACAACCTACCCACTGGGATCCAGCTCCTACGTCATCTTGTAGATCACATCCTCTTCAATCCATCGCTATGGATACATACCCCTATCAAGGTATATCCTCATTTTGATCATTTATTCTCAAGTGCCAGAGCCTCATAACTGTTCTTAAAGTTTCTTAGACAACAACCTGTTGTATATCACTCTAGACCAACTATCCATGGAAGGACCACTATCCACAAGTCCAACTGTGCTGGGACAATTGCCCCTTTGCAATTTGCCCTGGACAACAATCCTTGACAACTACCCCAATGGACAAACTATTTGATCATTGGATGTCTTTAATAGGAATTAAATTGTTAGTCAACCTACTATAGGCAAGAAGATTCTTGTCAATATAATGATGTTAAATCACTTTAATAGGAGAACAGAGGGAAATGAGATTTGTTAACTTGCGGAAAAACCACAACCCAGGTTGTTCTCTTAGGGCTTTTTAAGATGACTGTAGACAACTGATTTTGTTTGTTTGTTCGAGATGCTGCAACTCTCTACAAATTTCTTACCCTGACCAACACTCCTGAATTACTGTAAACTGAGGCTGTTTACAAACATCATGTGTGTATTTTATTTTCATTTTATTTAGGTCCAGATTTCGCTCTACACATTCCTTGCCAACGAGTTTGTGGGTCAGGCATCCATCTACACCAATATCCGTAGGGTCAGCACGGTCCTTCAGTTGATGCACACTCTCAAGCACTACTACTGGATCGTCAACCCAGAGAACAGGAGTGGAATCGTGCCAAAGGGCTTGGGTATGAACACACCCTTAGGGAATGCATGTAGTATTGATGCCTCTTTCACACGAATGTCCATTTCACATGAATTTTGTAAATTAAGTTTAAATTATTGTGTATGAATGCATAAAGAAGTATAGGAGTTAAATAGAAATAGCGATACATATATGTTTGAAGCCAGTAAACCTTTATTCTTCTTTGAATTTGAGTGGAATTTATAGAGACGTGTAGAGTGGTACTTGCATTGAGCTGTTCACTGTTTTAGCAAACACTAAAGTAAAAATCCCTTTTCTGATAGCGAAGTTATACAGTAAGACATCATAATCACTGGGATTGTTGTATGTCTAGACTATTGGTAATAATAATGATGAATGCTGTTTTTTATATAATGTATGTTCAGCTGCAAGAAACTGATCAAAGCACTCCTGTGTGTTCTTCTTGACATAGGAAGTTTGTTTATTCAAATCTGATCAATTCAAAATTGGTCCTAAATGCATGTGAAATGGATTGTGTGGGTCTTAATAAAACTATGCTCCCAAAATTATTGAAATGGGCAGTACAGTGTGTGCCTGAATAGAATGGAATTTATGATGAAATAAAATCCCTTTCACTAAAAGAAACAACAAATGAAACAGAGAAAATGGTGGATTATTTTGTGTTTTTTTGCAGAAGGGAATCGGCCCAGCCTTGACGACCTCTTGACACTGAGGGCACTCATCCTGCGTGTCACCAAGCAACTGATTCTCAAGGAGAAGTCTGCCAATGACGAGGAGCTTCAGATCATTCTCAACTATCTCATGACCATGCATGAGGTAAGACTGGAATTGCTTTGTAAAATGACATATGAAGTAGAAGTAGTAAGCAAAGTAGTATATGCTGCAGTAGAAATAGTAGATATGCATTAAACACATTTAATAGTCTTTGACTTTGAAGAACTCATGTGTGATCATGTAGTACATGTAGGTAGAGCTGATCAATCAGGAATTTCATGCTGGCTTCAAGTTGGCCCTAACATGAAAATAGAACAGTGAGGAAAAGAGATCAGTGAACTACTGAGTAAAATGCAATAAAGGATGATAAACAACTAGGGACTCTGACCTCTCTTTTTAGCAACTCTCAATAAATTTAGATTTTTCACCAAAGATAATGTTTGTGTATTAATCATACTCATGCTCTAGATAAAATATTGGACACAAGTTTTTAAGCTACTTCTCAATGAACATGATTTATTCTTTCATCTATAATTAAGATAAGGGATCCTGATAATTCTTACTTCAGAAGAAATGAGAGCAAAGGACGATATGGAGTTGCCACTTATTTATTTTTACTTTAAAAACAACATATTGATCATGATAAGTTAAATTTCCACTAATCTATTTCTCCATTTATTCTGCTGTTATTGAAATCAACTTGATACATGTAATAGTGCAGACTTCCACTTAAACCCATTACCTGCAGGAACTGGATGATCTCTGTATTAAGCCTTTGAGAGTGAGAAGTTCCAGTGGTCAATGGCTTAAAAGATTCATGGTAGTAGGGCAAAACAATTCCTCTGACACTGTTGCAGTGTGCAATCTGTTAGAGAAAGATGGGGGGGGGGGGGGGGTAGAGGCAAAATTTCACCCAGCCCCCTCTACATTTTCCCTGGCCGAGAATGCCAGATGCCAGAAATGATCACTACATGTACCTCATGGCAATGTTATTTAATCTTATTCCAATGTAGATGAGATCAGAGGGGGTTGATGAGATTACAGTGGTAAGCTGACAAATGTGTGCCGATGATTGCCAAACATAGCATGCCATATCATAACATGCCTTATGGCCACAGTGCACCTTAATGACCTGACTATGGCTCAAGTTTGAAAGAAATTGCAGATATGAACTATTTGATTTGTAAATTTTTCTTGGTTATGGTCCCATATGTTTTGATGAATAGTATTTCCAAAATGGTGGGGTATCTTCCTGTCAGGGAGCATGAAAGATTGGTTTAGGAATGTAGCGACATTGTATCGGTTACATGATTGCGATCAACTTGTAGCATATTATAAAGCTTTAACCAAAACTAGACGGCTTAGAATACCCCACCATTTAAATATTGAATACCTGTATCTAAGGACTGTTCTGTACCCCTATCAGGAAGAATTTACATATCCAAATTTTTATGTCTAATTTTATTCCAATTTTTTTTTTTTGGGGGGGTAAAAAATTCAGTTGCAGTCAGGTTGTAAGATGTGTACTGGGCTTTCCAATGGTTGAGCAGCTCATTTTTTTTTTTAGTGATATTGGCTATCCTTAACATTGTTATACACAAAAATTACATTTTGTGGCTTATTTCATGTAATCATTCTCAGAAAATTTCAAGAGTCGGGGTGCAAGTGCGGATGAAATGAACCATTGGGCAAGATTGCATCTATTGTGTGGTTTGCTTGTTTGAAGAACTTTTGATTCTTTTGCTGGAGTAGCAGTTTCAGTGCTTGAAGTGGCTGATATATCAATATGAAAAGATTTAAAGGACAAATCATTATGCTTTGAGTGTGGTTTATCTACTTCCATTTTGTACTTTAAAAAAAAAAATGCTTTGTTATAATAGAGAAAACATAGAATGCATGCATATCTTCACATATTCATTACAAGTACTTTGCTTAACCCCGTACTATAGGTGGGGTTAAGGGGGGGTCTTAGCCCCACCTATAGTCCAGGATTAAGCCTATTCCACTTTCTGTTCAGACTCGTATTTACCAAAGTGGGCTAGCCCCACCAAGAGTACGGGGTTAACTAACCCTGCAAAAGAGCAGGGCTAACCCCGCAATTGTGGTGCTAACTCCTGTTAACCCCGCAATTGCGGTGCCAAGCAAATGAATGAGAACAGAAACGAAAAATAGTCCGGTACTACGCAATGGAGCGTATCGCAGCTGGCCAGATGCGAAGTAAGGAGCCCACTGTCCAATCATAACATTCACGATATCCGTAACGAATTGCAGTGAGAACAGCGTGAATTTTCTTATTCCGGAATAGGCGCTAGTACGGGACTAAAAATAGCGTGTGTGAAAAGCCAAAAAAAATATTCCGGGTTTAAGGATAGTACGGGGCTAAGCAAAGTAAGGGGTTAAGCAATACCAGTGTGAAAAGAGTACAAGTTGATCAAACAAATAATTTTTTTTTAGAAATTGAACGTGTCTGGTGAATTGTACTGAATTTATTTCCCAAACCCTTGTTATTCAAAATATGAGAGCCTGTTGGCTAACTCAATGCGACAAGGAGTAAATTTATTCGACTTTACATGTACCGGGTTATTTAAAACATTACATGTATTTCCTCACATGAACATATTAAGTACATTAATTTTTCAAATATTTCTGATTCTTATGGGTTTCTCTTTTGTTCTGAATTCTTACCTCTAAAATGCATGTGGATTGTGGAATTTTTAATGGTATTTTACCATTTCTAGGCTTTAATTTTTCCTTTGATGATTTGACTTACATTTTCATATAAATCTGCTGTAAGTTACAACTTCTGTACTGTATGTTGATTAATGCCATATGGACTGAATGTAAGCAAGGCCCATGCTATTTTAGCAGTGTTGATTACATCAAGTGATGGTCAATGCTTCGAGAAACGGGGACATTGCGTATCGAGCCATTCTCAGATATATTTGACTGAAGCTGTATCGAGTATCTGATGAAGTTGTTCTGAAAACCAGGATACATGTAACAAGATCCCTCGCCTGAAGCCAAATCAAAAGTCAAGCGGCTGAGCTTAGAGTCTGCAGAATTCTACTTGAAAAAGGAATGTGGGAAAAAAAGAAAAAAAAAATCAAGAATTTTATACTGTAATTGCAAGAGCTTATAAAAGGCATTGGAATTATGAATGATTAGCACATTTCATGATTATCGTTTTATGAGATCTTCATATTTCACTCAAACAGTTTTTCAAAAAAAAAGTTTCTGTTAATTTTCTTATCGCTATCATTTGTTGGAAAGGGAATCTGTAAAGAAAAAAAATTCAACTATTTTCAAATGTAGCTTTTATATAATGATGACACATATCATTAAAAGCAACCAGATTTTCTGAATGACACAATTCCATTTACAATTAATCAAATCATTTAATTAAATGTTTAAATGCTGAACTGCTCATCATGTTTTGTCATGAATCACCAAATTGATTGAATAATGGACAATCATGCACATTCCATGTCAACGCATCATGTCTGAATGGATCATGTTATTAAAATATATGTAGAAGGACTATCGTTATGTTACTTTCTATTAATTAAATAATTGTGATGAATTATTTTTTTGTTAGGGGTGTTTTGGAAGTGCATGTAATTATCAAGATACGAAACACGCTACAATAAATTTGGGTTCATATATCATGTGAAAGTAATTTTCATTATGATTATTAACTTTGAGAAGATCATGCTAGATAAATAATCATACATTCAAAGAATGAAGCTACATTTGTACATGTTTATCAAAGAGGGGTATCGTTTACTTATAACACTCATTATGAATGGAAAAATGACTTCTTTTGAAACATTCATGCATAGAATCATTTATAATGAGGCTAATTTGACCATCCCAAACATGCTTCAATGACACGCTTCTTTCCAATGTCCACACAAATTAAGTGTTGATTTGAAGCATGTACATACATATTGTACATTTATATTCATTTGACAGCATGATAAAACAATAAAAGCTCAGCAGCTTGGCTGTCTGGGTGCAGTGACATGCATTTGTTATGAATCATCATAATTCATATCAAATTACATTTTCTCTTTCGATCTGTTTTCATTCAGGATCTCAACTTGAAGGATGTTCTCCAACTCTTGCTCTCTCTGATGGCAGAAAACATCAATGGCTTGGCAGTCGCATTTGACAGGAAAAATGGCATCAGGTATTCAATTCTCCAATTAAAGAATATCTTGTATTCACAATAATGATTCATTAAAATTTGCTGAAAAACAAACTACAATATATCTACTGATGTAATATGTCATTCAGTAGGAATCTGCCAATTTAAAATTTTGGGAAATAGGGAATTGTTCTATCAATCACGTGCTAAGTATGGAAAAAGAAATATACATACAAATCTCTAATTCCACTTCTGTACAGGTTTCAATTCTGTTTGGTTAGTGTTAGATATGTTATTTGATTTATTTATTTATTTTTTTTTTTTTAAATATCAGGACTGTTATAGTGTCTTTAGCCTTCACATACTTTCTGCTACCCATTAATGTATCAACCAATCTGATGTATTTGTATTGTGATTGTATGTCAATATTGATTGATTACATGATAAAACTATGAATGTAAATATCAAACATTATATAAATATGAAACATTATGTAAATATGAAACATTATGTAAATATGAAACATTATGTAAGTATGAAACATTATATAAATATGAAACATTATGTCAATATGAAACATTATGTAAATATGAAACATTATGTAAATATGAAACATTATGTAAGTATGAAACATTATATAAATATGAAACATTATGTCAATATGAAACATTAAATAGATATGAAACATTATGTAAATACAAAACATTATGTAAGTATGAAACATTATGTAAATATGAAACATGTCAATATGAAACATTAAATAGATATGAAACATTATGTAAATACAAAACATTATGTAAATATGAAACATTATGTCAATATGAAACATTAAATAGATATGAAACATCATGTAAATACAAAACATTATATAAATATGAAACATTATATAAATAATTTCTTTCTTTGAATCATCGTTAACATCCACCTTGATCTGTTTGTGTCCTAGGACTGTATTCAAGCTGTTGGCCTCAAGCGATGAAGCGGTTCGCGCTCTCTCCCTCAAATGCCTCTCCCTCTTCCTCAGCCGACTCCCACACAAGTAAGTGTACCTTTCAAGAAAAAAGAAAAATGAAGGACACTTCTAAGAATTAAAGTATTTGCAGGACTATTTCTGTTTGATAAAATTGTATTTCATAGGAAAAGATTTGATTATTTTAAGTGTGTTATTCAGGTACTGGACTGCACATTTGCAAGATTAGTTATTTAAAAAATAGGGTCATCTTGTATTTACATATCTGACATACATGTGTGACTCATTTTAACAAATAACTTAAAGGTTGAAGTTGTAAGTAGGTCTTGTTATCTCCTAACAATACATACTATGAAAAGTCATGTTTAGCCTCTTGACACTCAATATAATTGAATTAATCGATGCACAAATTGCAGTGAATCCTTGATCCTTTCCTAATTTCAGCCATCAGCATAGTGTTTTCTTTGAAGTCTTTTACATATTGACATTGAGATTTTTAAAAAAATCCTCAAAAATCATGGACAATTGATTGGTTGAATGTTGAGCTACTACTTTTTTTCAAAGAGTCTGTTCAGGTACACCTTTTAATGCAAGAAGCCTCTCGGCAGATATCGCAGTAGCTCCTTTTTATCCAACCCTTCCAAATACAAGTATCATACTTAAATTAATTTTGAAGTAATATATTTGTATTTTTTTATTTTGTTACAGGAGGAAGATGGATCTGATGTATGCTCATAACCTGTACTCTCTCCTTGGAGAAAGAATGCAACTCACATCAAATACACTCACACTCACCATGTACAACTGTCTCTTTGAGGTATCGTAAATCTCCGTGTATAAGGCGCACCTGTGTATAAGGCGCACCCCTATTTTTGAGATTTAAAAAAAAAAGACACCAACTGAATCGTATCTTATTTCAGTGGCGGTCCCGTTCGGAAAACAAAGCCATGATGCAGGGAATTGGGAAGGACTTTTTATTTATTACGACTGTACAGTCAAAAAGTCAAAGTAAAAAAAAATAGTAACAATGTTGTTTTTAAAACTAAAGATGACGGAAAATTTTTCCTCCCGAGTCCAAACCAAAATTTAGATAGGCTAGTTTTTGAGTGGTGATTCGATATCCCCCGTGTGAGTGAGCTGCATGATACAGGTGAGTGAGCTGGAGACACGGGAGAGCGAGCTGGAGACACGGGAGAGCTTCAGCTGGCAAAGTGCTTTGTGAAGGGGCATAATTTATCGAGACTGAAAAAAAAAAAAAAAAAAAAAAAACTCTCTTCCCTTCAAATTAGGAACGGAGTTTAACTTTAAATAGTAGATCCTATTCTATATTTGCATTATGTAATTCATGTTGAGACACAGAGATTTTCGAAAACCATTAAAAAGTAGCATTTTGAGAACTCAAAATATCCTGTACCTGTGTATTAGGCGCACCCCCGACTTTCTATTTTTCCCGACGGAAAAAAGTGCGCCTTATATACAGAGATTTACGGTAATACATTTTTCTTCATGGTGTCCAAAAAAAAAAAACCCTAAGAACAAAGCGCCCTTTTAAGAATTAATTAATTCAGTTCTCCTTTGAATCATGATATGCTTAGCTGCCACCTACATGTATATGCGTATGCATCTTATTCGCAGGTGCATGTGACAAATGCAAGACCTGAAAAATCCCTGCATATCTAGAAGAAGCTTCACTAACTTTTTTTTAAAGTATTTTTTTTCCTGAACAATTTGGAGAAGAAGAGCTTGTTATATGTTTAGTTACCCTGTAGTATTTTTCCTGTTCTAGTGCAAATTTTCAAAATAAAATCAATTAATAGGCACTTTATCCTTCATTAGAATCAAAAGGTGATCATAAATTACCCTTGACTAATAGATTATAGATGACATCAATTTCTTTATGCAACAACCACTTATTGTATATGTATTTTTCTTATCTGCAGCTGTTGACAGAGAGAGTGAGTTTGCAGGTCATGTCTACAAGGCATCCAGAACCAGACAAGACATATAGAGTCATGAACCCAGGTGAGTTCTTCATATACATGAGTGTGAAGCTTGATCCCATCAGAGATACATGTATTCCCAATGCAATGTAAAAGGGAAGATAAAGGAAAAGAAAAGAAAAAAAAAATCAAATTATGATGCTTGAAATTTTATTGTATTTAGATTACTGCCTCAAAAATATTAATGATAATCACAACAGTTTCATGTTGATTAAGAAGACATCAACAATGATGATACTGATGGTGATTATTATGATGATGATGATGATGATGATGATGATGATGGGCTCATGGAGAAGGAGCGACATTCTTTATAATCCCCACTCCTGTAAGGGTATTTTGAGGACATCATATTTCATATGACTATTTATAAGATGATGACGTGGCTCCTAATCAAATGATTGGCTGAAAGCGTACACGTGACCAGGCATTTATTTTGCCTAACACATAATTTGGATAATGACCAGGCATTATCCAATTCTAATGACTGGCCATTGGTAAAATCATGTTATAAGACATCATTTTATAAAATAAATAAATCATAATCTTATCAAACAAATAATACAAATCATTTTGTTTGGGCATTAGTAAAATTACCCACACTCTGTACCTTCAAAACAGTCCAAACAGTGTTAGACTGTTCCAAAGGTACCTTGTGTGGGTAATTCTTACTAATGCCCTCACTGCTGTGTATTATCTCTATCTAAACCTCCTTCTTGATCTACCATCTACCTACAGGGATGTTCCATGTGATAGCCAGACTCCTGCGCCAGTCTGTTCCTAGTCCTGAATCCATGGATGTGAGGAGACTGTTCCTATCGGATATGATCCTTCTCTTCAACAACAGCAGAGAGAACCGCAGGTTAGTACTAGGGACCCGTTTCACAAAGCCTTTTTTCAATGACAAATGACTAAAGTCAGTGACAAATCTGCTGATAACCAATCAGAAGCAAGGATTTCAGTGGCTTATAACAAAAACTGTAATATGTCACTGATGACAAGTTTTGTGAAACACCCCCCAGAAGAGCTGAGCTCTTTAGCCAAGGGAGTCCTACAATCATAGACAATGTGTTTGGTGCTGAAGTATTGAAGATTTACCCTTCCGATCTCCAAATACTCTAGAACTCACCCAATTGTATGAGAGTGAGTAAAGACTTTCTGTGCCTAGGAACTAGGCATATATAGTTGTACCATCTCATGATGGAGTTTCCTGTTCATTCTGTGTAAAATTACAAGTACAATTTTTTTTGTTTACATTGATAATCTATGGATGCCTTGAAAATGAACCTAAACAATCTCATGTTTTAGAGGAAAATTCATGTTTAGCTGTATGTGGTGTAGAGAGAAGTACTGTATGTGTGTTTATAGGAAAAGATCTGTAGCCATAAACCCTTTTATATCTGTTTACAAGAAAGATTGACTGTTTCCTTTTGAATCTCTGTACATGTATTTCATTGATCTGAAACTAAAACTGAAACTGTGTAATCAATCTCTGTCATCTCAACTGTTTTTTCTCTGTCTAGAATCCTACTGCAGTGCTCCGTATGGCAGGACTGGATGATCTCTCTCTCCTACATCTACCCCAAGAACGATGAAGAGAAGAAGGTCTCTGAGATGGTCTACTCTCTCCTACGCATGCTCCTCCACCATGCCATGAAGTACGAGTGGGGCGGATGGAGGGTGTGGGTCGACACCCTGTCTATCCTGCATTCCAAGGTAAGAAGGTCAAATGTTATAAGGGTCAAAGGTCATAGGGGTCATAGGGGTCATAGTTCAGAGTAGATGGTCTACTCACTCTTAGGCATGCCTCACCAACATGCCATGAAGTACGAGTGGGGTGGATGGAGGGTCTGGGTCGACACCCTGTCCATCCTTCATTCCAAGGTAAGAAGGTCAAAGTAAGAAGGTCAAATGTTAGGAGAGTCAAAGGTCGTAGGGGTAATAGGTCAAAGTAGATGGTCTACTCACTCTTATGCCCCACCACAATGCCATGAAGTATGCATAGGGTGGATGGAGGGTCAATGGATTTTTGTGTCAATACACTATCCATCAATACTTAAAAGTAACAGGGTCAAAGGCTATAGGGGTCAGAGTTTAGAATTGATGACACCACTGTCTTATGCTTCTTGCTTCATGAAGTAATAATTTTCTAGTGAAGTCTAGAGATCATCTGGGTCAACACCCTTTCCATTTTGCACTCCGGTATAAAGGATGTGGAATGTTTTATGATTCATTCAGATGCAATAAATTGTCTTGTCAACTTCACCAGCATTTAAAAACTAAAAACTAACAAAAAACAAGAATGAAAGAAAGAAATAAAGAAAGTAGGAAATAGAGAAAGAAGGAAAAACAACAACAACAAACAATCAAATAACAGCAGTTAGATAGAATATTCATACAATCTATTTATATACGTATTTATTGAAATTTGGAAAAAGATATTGAGTCATCATTATAAATGATATGGTAAGAGTTAGGTGGCACATTTACAACAATCTTGCAAAGATTCTTATATTTCTTTCATATTGACTCTCACATTTAATACTAAATAATATGTTCCGCGCCTAGAAACAAAGTATTAGGCGCATTATAAATGTGAGCTATTATTATTATTAATACTAGGTGTCCTTTGAAGACCACAAGAATGACCTCCTCAAGGCTTACACCCACTACCAGAACCAGCAGAGTGAGGATGGGGGCAGCCCCCGCGGGGTCCCACTCAACATCTCTGAGGCCGTGGCTGCCGGGGCCAAACTGCCCCAGTCAGGCCGGCCACGCCAGCCAGACCATTCCATCAGCGCGCTGGCTGCGATGACCGGTGGGGATGGGCTGGACTATGAGGTCGTGGAGGATGATCCAAGCAACCCGTATCCACCCCGTGAAAGGATGGTGACAGGTATCACATTTGTCCCTTTTTCTGTTTGGTGTTGTATTTTTGATGGTTGAATATGGTTTGATTTTGGCAGTTAGCCAACATTTGTTATGATGATATCTGCTGTGGACTTTACTTAAAAATTAAGGATGTGCCTTTGAGTTGAGATTGTATTCAGGTTAGGTCTAGACTAGGGTTATGGTTAGGTGTAGAGTTGGTTCCATGGTTGAAGTTTGTTGTGTAATAGTTCATTTCACAATTCAAATTGTTTATCGCTATGTTGCAAATCCATGTCCATGAATATTGGGACAATAGGCAGATTTAAGATATACATTCAAAATACATTATTCAAAATAGTCTTGACATTGGCAAACAATTTTTGGATAATTATGACCCTGTTCCTACCTTTTTCACACTTGTCTTTCTCCTTCCTCCGCCATATGACAGAAGCTGAGTTGGTGAGGATACGTCGTAAGCAGGAGGTGAGATCCTTCCTGAATGATGTGATTGACAAGGTGGTTACCATGGTAGAGAAGGACGAACCTAAGGGATCAGCAGAAGGAGACAAAGCTGAGGCTGTGTCTACCGATGCTTCAAACAGTGCTGATGGCAATGAAGATGTAAGCATTCATTCATTCATTCTCTCTCGCTCTCTCTCTCTCTCTCTCTTGCTGTCTCTCTCTCTGTCTCTCTGTCTCTCTCTGTCTCTCTCTCTGTGTTTCCCTTTTTCTGTCTCTCTGCCTGTCTCTTTGTCGGTCTCCCTCTCTCTCTCTCCTGCACTGTCTTCACCTATCTTACTAATACTTTTTTTCCTTTTTCTCTCGAAACCCTACCATTTTCATTCTCATTTTGCATTTTTCGCTTTCCCCATTGCTTTTGGAAAAGTCGGACCATTCTGTTCCCCTTTTTTCAGCCAAGCATGTACTAAATGTGATCCAGTATTTTCAAGAACGGTAGAGCCATCCTACCCCTAGAGCCGACATCACCGCTAAAAATTATACATGTTCAACTGCAGTAATATTTATTCCCACTCCTTAATTCTATCCTTCAATGCAATCTTTGTTGCTTTTGGAAAGAAAGTCATATTGCTACTGGTTCAAACAGAAGATTTTGGTTTTGGAAACTCCAGTTTTTTAAATAAATATACTAAACCTGGTGTTTAGTTAGCTGTGTTACTATAGGACAGTATTAAAACAAAGCAAAACTTTTCTTCCCCATTATCAGAGTTCGAGTGTCTCTAAGGACAGCCCAGCCATCCTGCCCCTGGCCAACATCACCACCAACGAGCAGATCCTGCAGGCTGCTGACTACACCACCCAGGTACCCCTGGAGGAGGAGGTCAGGCAGATGGAGGCCGGAGCTAGTGGTGGAGGTGGTGGTGGAGACACGCCCAGTCAGAGGGTCTTCAGTCCTGGACCCCATCAGGTATGCATGCCTGTCTCACCTCTACTCCATCAGCAATTTTTTTCTTCACCTATAGAGGTGCATTTGACTAAAAGAACCCATTTTTACAATAAAGTCTTGTTGAAGATTGTATGCATGATGTTGGTTGTCGATGGTCATGTAGGAAATGGCATCATCGGCAATAAGGCGAACTTTAGATGGTAGACCATTTGGCTAGTCGTTTATGTAGAATAGAAAGAGACAAGGTCCAAGAACCGACCCTTGTAGCACTCCAGATTCCACTGCTATTGATGATGAGTTCTTGCCATCCAATACTCCAAAAAACATGTCATTCATGAGCAGAAACAGATTCCTCTTGTTACTTTAATGTTTTGACGGTGTTCTTCAATCTGTTGAAATGATGTCCCGTACATTATTCATGCAAATCAAAATAAAGAGCAATTTAATCTCCGCATGCACATTAAGAGTAGCTTTTTGTCGCATTTTAAATGTGGTTAGTTAAATATGCATAGACTACACTGTAATTTATGGGTAATATTGATCACAAGATCTAAATATGTAATACAACATATTTTGCAAAATCCCTATTCGCCCATGCAGATTTGCATTTTGTAATACTAAGAATATTTTCTATGTCGCACATGATTTTTTTCCCTGTTTTTTGTTGTTGTTGCAGGCTCCATACCGTATCCCTGAATTCCAGTGGTCCCACATGCACCAAAGGATGATGTCTGATCTCCTGTTTGCTATTGAGACTGATGTACAGGTCTGGAGGAGGTAGGAATAGTGAGATTGATGGATAGATGGATGGAAAGATTGATGGATAGAATATTGAATGGATGGATGGATATATGGATAGATTAATAGATGGACAGATGAAATGTTTGATGGGTAGAATATTGAATAGATGGATGGAAGGATATATGGATAGATTGATATATGGGTGGATGGATAGATAGATGGATGGATATATGGATAGATTGATAGATGGATATATGGATAGATTGATAGATAGACAGAAGGAAAGTTTGATGGATAGAATATTGAATTGATAAATTATTGATTGATGGATATACACTGTATGGATAGATTGATAGATGGATGATATATTGGTTGGTGGATCTTAAGATGGAGAATAGACTGTAGATACAGTAGAATGTTTGTTGGATAGAAGTATTGATATAGATGGATGGATGGATCAAAAGCTTTCATTAAAGGTGATGGCTGTTCTTCTGCTTGCTATCTAAACTAACAATGGGAATAATGAAATAGAGTGGATGTGTGTACAGTACGTACAAATAATGTGTTGAATGAATAGATATAGCAGAAAGAGACAGAGAGAGAGAGAGAGAATGAATAAAGTGATGAGCAAAATTTAAGATACATGTAACAAAAGAAATATTGATACACAACTTTTTTGTAAAATCTTATGCTCATCAGACCTTTTCTCTCCTCTCCTTTAATAGCCATAACAGACACACACAGTGATAGACCGTATTAAAGCAGGTGAAATTTTGTCCAGAAAGTGACCGAAATACGAAAAATAAAAGAGAAAAACATCAAGTACCTGTATCCAATGCAAATCTTTATTGTGAATAAACATGTATCTGCATTTCCCATTCCTTCCCTCTCTTTAGCCACAACACAAGGACAGTGATAGACTATGTCAACGCAGGAGAAAACACCATCTTTGTCCAGAACGTGACCCAGATGATCTCCCAAATCATGGATGTCCTCATCTACTCCTGCGGTGGCATCTTACCTCTCCTCTCAGCGGCAACATCCAGAAGTGTAAGTCTCTGATCAAATTGGCAACACTATCATTGTATACCTGTTGCTAAATATCTTCATTACAATTTCATATAATCAGGTATTGAAATATGACTTATTATGATACATGCATGCATAAAATAGTTAAGAAGTGTCATCTGGTATATTTTGGGAAAACCTGCAACAGTCGTCAACTTTGGTAATGGTAAATAATGAAACATTTTATATTAGTGTATTTGAATGTCATATGGTATCCATGTATGTGAGTGGTCTACACTGTATTTTCTGTGTATTTGGTTAAAGAATTTGTAGTAAGATCTACTTCAGAGGGGATTTCTGTCTGACAGTAAAAGATAGTTCTCTGATGAATGGCTCCTGTCTACCATCATTTCTAATTATTGTCTTTCAAAACTGCTTTATAATCCAAGTTTTACATGTATGTGTCATATGCTTGTAGTGCAAAGGTATAAAACTGGTAATTTGGCTAAACAATCTCTGGGGAGTGTTTCACAAAGACTAAGATCGACTTTAAGTTGGACTTAACTATGGCAGGCCATTTATGCCACTAGTTGCTCTCACCATTGGTCTCTCAATTATGATCTTTAGATAATATTCTTTTCTTTGATAATGAACTATCAAAATATGTAAATTCTGTAGATTTGTGACCATGATTTGTACGACCCTTGAGAAACCAATGTCAGCCTAATGGTTAGAGGAACTTGTGGCATAGACGGCTTGCCATAGTTAAGTCCAACTTAAAGTTGATCTTAGTCTTTGTGAAACACTCCCCTGATCTGTATGTGTGTATGTGTGTCTTCCTTTTCCTCCTTTTGCACAGCTATATGAACAACCTGATGTCATCATGCTGCCCCTATTCTATGTAAACTTTGACCCTTGACCTTTGCACATTGAAGCATTGCTTCTTGATAGCATGACCACTTTTAAAAATTTGATTGATTGAAATTGTAGCATGTTTTTATGTTGTTTATCTTTATAAGTTTGTTAGGAATGTATTAGAGTATTCATTTATAATTCTTAGATTAGGTATGATTGTCTAAAGGCTTAAAGCAATACAAAATTATAGTAATAATATATATGATAATAACGATAATAATAATGATAATTATAATAATAATACAGCAAATTAGAAATTAAAATAATAATAATTAAACATTCTTGTTAAGTGCATACAACATTTTCCTATGCATTTGAGAAGAAAGAGAAGAGAATAGGCAACTGAGTTCCTTTTATCTGTTTAACATTTGGAATAAGTGCATGCTAAGGGCAGACTTTAATTTATCTGTTGTATCAATGTTTGTAAGAGAGTCGGACTGGGGCAGTTTTTGTTTCTTCAAATCTTTTAGAGAATGGATAACTAATAATGATATGTAAATGCATTATGAGGCAACCTTTATTTTCATATTTTGTTTTAGTTAACAAATTGTTTTACTTTTATAGTTGTTTTCACTAGAAACTAGATTTATAATATGTTAGCTTTTTTTCATGAACATGCATAACATACAATAATGTTTATTGCATGACTTTTTCAAGAAAATGTTTATTACAAGTTGAGTTTTGCATGAATTGTTTATATTTTTAAATATTTATATTCTGTATAGTAATGACATAAATCATTATAACATTAATCACATGGCTTTAACAGGAGTCAGTGACAGATTGTCTGCATGCCTATGAATAAACAATGTAAAAACAGAGTAAATGAAGAACACATCACAACAGAAATAACCCTGACTGTAATGCTTACCCTAATTGTACTGTTACTTGGTGAGGTATCTTGATATGCTGACATAAATCATTATTTACAATATTTCAAGTAAGGAATCTGACAAACCAGCAGTAGCTAGATTACATTGGTTGTTGCTATGACAGGCATGCTTAGCTGTACTGACACAGAAATAATCACACTCACTTTGTCTTGGTAGGATATCCTGATAGACTGATATAAAGCTCTCTTGTACTATCTTTCACGTAAGGAATGGGCCTACTGAAAAACCAGCAGTAGCTGGGTTATATTGGTCGTTGCTATGTCAGGCAAGCCCTAGCTGTACTGACACAGAAATAATCACACTCTCTTTGTCTTGATCCTATCAAGCAGCAACAAGACCCTGATATAGCCGAACCAACCCAGAACCTGCCTCTCGACGTCGGCATCTCCTTCATCAACCGCATTATGAACCTGGTCGACGTCTTGGTCTTTGCTAGCAACCAGAACTTTGGAGAGCTGGAAGCAGAGAAGAGTGTTGCTAGAGGAGGCATCCTCAGGCAATGTCTGCGACTCAGTAAGCCTCTGTGATCTTTTTTTGTGTGTATTCAGTTCCGTGGTATAAAAGATGATGGTTAACAAACTCATCAATACAATATGTGAAGGTCTGAATAAAGCACTTTTGCATCTTCAGAGAAAGAAAGAAATGATGTTGCTAATTTGATATGTATGGGAATTAGATGTTTGCAGTATTTAATCATTGATTCATGTTTATCCAATGAACCTTGAGGCCATCACTTATAAGTAAAGTATTAAACAATCCCAATATAGATACTTCATATATGATAGTACATGTAGATTAGAAGCTAGGGTTATTTCTTTCCTTCTACTTGCAACCTTAATGTGTCTGATCCAGAATGATGTTAAAATTAAAACCAATGAAAATACAAGGAATTTATTTATTTAGATTAATCATGTAAATCATGTAATGTCTGACAAAGACTGTGGGTATCTATTCACCAAGTGCATGTGCCTTTGATATTTGAGCCTGCTGTATTTGCACATGGTTCCACCCAGGAACTTTTGTGACTGGTGCTCATCTTAGTTATACTTGGTTTATCTGCTCATTTATGTCTGTCTAAAAGGCAATGACTACTATACAATACCTTAAAAGAATATTTGCAAAGATATCCCCTTATCACTCTCCTTTTTCAGCCTGCTTCTGTGCGATTCGCAATGTTCTGGAGTGCCGCTTCCGGATGCATCCCTCTCCTTCGTCCAGTACAGTAAGTCTCAACAAGCCTGCTCCGGCTGAGCCTAGCACGCCCACAGGCAGTATACATACACTCATCCAGGCAACACAACCATCCCCTAGGGTGAGAAATTACACCCATGTACCACTCATATCATACCCCCCCCCTCATGTAATACCCCTCCCCCCCCCCAATCATCCTTTTCTACCCTACCCCTGGTATCCCTTCAACCCTCTCTCCCTCTCTCCCTCTCTCCCCTTTCTCTCTCTCTCTCTCTCTCCCTTTCTCTCTCTCTCTCTCTCTCTCTCTATCTCCCTTTTTCTCTCTCTCTCTCCCCCTTTCTCTCTCTCTCTCTCTTCCCACCCTCTCTCTCTTAGACCCAGGGTGTGGGGGTAGTTCCCATACCACTCACGTTCCATTTTATAATACGTTTCTGTGTGTCTATCTTTCTCTCCCCATCTCTTCCCGCTCCTCTTCCCCCTCTCTCCTCCGCTACCTCTCTCTCCCTCCCCCTTACTTTCTGTTCTCTGTACTCTGATCCCAAGTAAACATACCATCTTCATGTACTCTCTGAACTTCACTTGTTTATTTTGTTTGTACTATGCAATTGATCATAATATCCGTTGTATCATTCAATCTAATTGAGTCACAGAATACCATGCCATTATGTTTTAACATATACCCTGACCAATTTGTTCATGAGTTCACCATCATCATAAACATTTAGCTTTATCATGTTATAGCATGTTTGATCTTGATCATATGCATCTACTGGAAGATGTATGTGCATGGAAGATTTGTATGTGTCCATGGCAATTTTTATCAGTTCCATATTATTTCAATTTTGGTATGACATATATTTCCCATAGATACAAGCCCAAGTTATTCAGCGGATTAACCTACCATATCACAAAATACAAACCTGAGTCACCCTCTAACAGAGTAATTCTCTTCAGTGTAAATAAAAGCTTTATTCCATACTCAAAGAAATTCAGAAGAAATTGAAATTCCTCGTAGTCAGAGATTAATGCAAATATGACCGACTCGATTGTATTCATAATGTTAAAAGAAAATACCATAGTCATTATCGGGAAATGGGACCGGCACTTTAGTGGTACATTGTGAGCAAGTGATGGTGCGCACAGTATTTGCAAGAGGGGCTGCTTTGGTGATGAGAAAGTACTGGCTGATTGCAGAGCATGATGCATGGTGGGAAATTAGTTCAATTTTACAACCATTTATAATCCAAATAGCTATATAAGTATAATTGATTGATTGGGTAAGAAGCTCATCATAACTATGAATTGTTGGTACTTTGGGAATTCATTCATATTATTAGTTACTTTAAACTTAGGTAAATGCTTTGTATGCATTTCTTTTGTTTTTGTATGCATTTCCAACAGAGCATCTGTTTGAAGAATACAGTTCACTTATACATGGCAACTTGTAACATCTCTTTATAATGAAAATGAGGGAAATGTATTGTAGTATGTGATCTTTAACTTTAAATAAAAAGTGGAAATATATTTTTTATTGATAGAAAGAATAAACAAAGTGAAATTTACATAACACAAAGTGGGAGAAGTATATATGCAAGTATTCTTCACTATCATATCAAGGTATTTTGTTGTGATTATTTATATGTTTTGTATATCAAAATAAATTTTGATTTCAACATATAAATCTGCAAAAATAAAAGGAATCATATTCTTATATGGATATTCCTACATAAGTGTTGTAAACTTGGTAAGGGATTAGGTACTCTATTTTTTATTATTTAACTGTGTTTTTAAATGCTTTATAAAGAAGTCCTGAAATTTTAAAGCAACTCAAATTTTTGCACAGTAGACAATTATGTATCCCGCCTTTTCCCATTGAGCTTAAATAAAAATCTATACCCCTCATAAGCCCCATGCTCCTAAATAAAGCTCTGTGTATTGATTTGAGTCATGGGGTCACATTTATATCGCTCTATAACCCTACCCCTGCTCCTTTCCTTGTGGGCCAATTTTTGAATAATTTTATAATTAAAAAAAAAAAGATCTGTTATGGTTATAATACCACATACACCCATTCTGTCATTCCATTCGCTGGTCCATACAAGGTCATCTGTGATTGGTTAATGTCAGCTTTGGTTCTCATTATCAAAACAAAAGCTCACTTCTGATTGGTTAATATCATCCTGTTCACACCCAATGTTTAGCAGGCCGCCACTAATATCAGGCTCCCCGGTTTTCTGAAGGTACAGTGCATGATTTATTTTATAGATTTTTATCCTTCTCTGCATTTACTCAAACGAAGATGTTTCTTTCGTTGTGCCACATGAACGCTGTCCACCACTTTCTCCCAGTGTACCCCCCTCTTCAAAATGGCAACCACTTTCAAAAATATGTCATCTGCGTATCTACACCATAACACTTTTTGTTTTTTATATAATTGTTCAGATTTAATCAGATATACCTTGTAATATCTTGTCAATTTGTGAACCCCCATTTGATATTCCTTTTCTCTCTCTCTCCCTCTTTGAATTTTGATTTCATGGAGCAGGTCCACTATTAAGTGTTGACTTGTTTGCATCCCCCCTTTTTAATACCCCCTTTTAATAACCCCCCCCCCCCCCTAAAAAAAAATTTTAAAAAAATTGAACAGATACATTTACATGTATGATTATAAGAATAGGCAGGTTTCTTAGACAGCCTGATTTATAAGTCAAATGACTTGAACTTTATTCAGTCTTTATTTGCTGGAAGAAATTAATCTTTAGACTGCAAAATTGTTTGGCATTTTATGATCTTTAGACATTTTATATGTGTCCCAAAACATTGACTACATCAGTCCATTGCTTGTTCAGAAATTCCCCCAAAGTGGGAAACAAGAGTTTGATACAAATGGCTTCGTCATTATACAATGCAATCAGGAGCTTTGCATGTCATGTCAACAATTTTTTCTCCTACTGTAACATCTTATAAAAAGCAATCATCACTGTCACTTCACAATCACTATTTCATTTCCATAAAGCACTCTGTATCATACAAAAACCAATGCCTTCTTTTTAAGAGCTTGTTTATGGAAAGTTTCAGACTCTTTTATGAGGTAAAGAAAGATATTCAATGTATTTTGATACCTTTCATCAGTTAGCAGTACACATACACTTTCTTTCTGATTTCAAAAAGGTGAAGGGACCTGTAAAATGTGACTGAAATACTTGTGATTTGTTTGTGTCTCTATACTTTGCTCTACTTCATCCCTCAATTAAGTACACTTTTTCCCTCTTTATTTGAAATATTATTTTAAAAGAAATCTTCTCACCTCCACTATCCCAACTTCAAAATGTTAAAAAATATTTTTCTTAACAAATAAAAAAATGAATGAAAATATAAAATCAAATACTGCACAGCAATTGTATATGGAAGTCACCTATCAATTTCACCGTACGCAACAATAATAATTCATTGTCTTACACAGTATAAAAGTGTATGTGTATATATTATTTTTATTTTCAAGATCGGGTTGGTATACATAGTATTTCCAAACATTATTATTAGTAATGTACTGTGAACACAAAATGTTAAAAAGGGAATGAATTTCTTCTTCTGTTCCATACTAGTAGACTGTAAAACCTTATATATTCAATATCATTTTCATAGATTACTTCTTGCACATATCTCTGCCTTAAACTAACTTTTTTCTTTTTTTTTCTTTAACCTCTCTTGGTCATGAATATATATGAGAGGATAGTGTAATGCTGCTGCCTCAATCCTAGGTGTAGTACAACATTTCATAGACTTAGGAACCAGCTCTTGACTAACTCTTTTGGAAGTTTAGTGGTGGTAGGGTGTGACTTACTATTGAAATTATTATAACACATAGACAATTGCATTCCAATTAGCTGGTAATGCCAAAGCACTCATTAATAAGGCTGTTCTTCCCAATCTATAACGTTTAGTTTAGGGTATTTGGCATTGAGGAAAGTGTTTTACATTTACTGTGTAGGTGTAAATGTATGTCACAGTTGATAAGAACTTTTACTTATTAACAAAAATCTGTTGTGTGTAATCAAAGTCTCAAGCAAGCTTCTAATATTGGAATAAAAATGAATAAGAGTCAAACACAAAAGAGAAGTGTCTCATCAGATCATGCTGAATGCCTTTTCAGTGTAATTCATTTTCTTTCGCTCTTACAAGTAATTCATGTAATTTTCATCCATTTTGCACAAATGTACAAATCCATATACAAATGCAATTTTTTCATTGAAAATCACATTCATATATATATGTAATTGTGTTTATCTCACATGAACATTGATGTTGAGGCTTGTCAATATTCATGTACTAAACATGGAAGAGGGTAATTCAATGTAACTTTTTTACCCAACACGAGCCTTTAAAATGTTAGAAGTAACAATTTGTAATCTACAGGTACATTTCAGTGTTAAATGTGTTTGCAGTGACCCTCCTGAAATGCTAAGAATGTGTCCCCTGACTGGCATGCAAGGGGAAAATTGTGTTAACTGGTGTGTCTGGTTTTTCCTTCTGTTGCCAGGGATCTTTCTCCTTCTCTTGCATGACTGGCATAATTCTTTCTTTGAAAAAGTTCTAGAAAAAAGAAAAAAAGTTCTTGAAGTTCTGGATCCCATTACATGAAGCTCTAGCTCCATGTACATGTATGGTCAGCTGTAGGATGGGATCAAAGAGGAATTAACCCTTTTAGTATGGAAAGTAGGTCTGAGTTGAACAGGAAAAATAACAGAAACAGATTTGTGAAAGTTTTAGAAAAGGCTACACAGAATCAAATACTATTTTTTTCCTTCAAACTATCGACTATGAAAATCCCCCTTGTACAATGTGGTCTTAGTGTTCAATTTCTATTAAAACTTTAATTTAAGATAGGGATTAGTTGTATCTCAAACATGGATCTACACTAACAAATCCTTGCTTGATTTACTTGTGAGGGAAAAAAGAGATGTTCTTTATTTTAGCTAGTTAAACTTCATTTTCAAATTCATTTGTTAACCAAAACAACTCCTTATTTTGTGTGAAATGCTAGTCTAATATGATTAATTTCATTTTCCAATAATCAGATGAGGTTCAAGTAATAGTTCTTTTCCTGAAAGGGTAAAGAGCATTTACCGGTATGTGGAATTCTGATAATACATGTATATCTCTTTTAAGTGTACCGGGTAACTAAACATAGGTGCAGGTTTTTCTCTGCTTATATATTTTGTGTGACTTTGTGTATACTTGGATGGAACTAAAGTTTGCATAAACCAAGACATTGAGTGTAACAAAACAATCTGAAAGAGAAAGAAAGTGACCTACAATTTCACTCTTAGGGGGATTACAGTTAATCATTCATTCAGCTCCTTTTAAAAATGGAATATTATGATGGAAGAAATAGGTGATTTTAAAATGATCAATGGTAATGCATGTAATTGTTTGAATCTATGTTTGAAACAGTGACAACAAATCAAACAACTCATCTGTTAACATTGCCTTTGTGAACATTATGGAGATTGTCAGATCAAGTTTTTTCCTTAAGTGTTCTGGAGGAAGACAAAAAAAATCATGGTTGTGGAAAACTTGATTCTCATAGATTACCATTCAATGGAGTAAAAATCGTTCTTTGTACACTGATGTAAAATAACCTTCTCTTTTTTGATTACTTTATTTCTTCCCACCTTTTAGAACATTGTGGAGAACCTTGCGAGTCCAATGTCTCCCGTACGAGATCTGGAGAGACTGCTTCAAGACATGGATATCCATAGGCTTAGAGCAGTCGTCTACAGAGATGTGGTAAGCATCTTGTTGTTGTTGTTGTTGTTGTTGTTGGTGGTGGTGGTGGTAGTGGTGATGGTGGTGATGATGGTTATGACGACAATGACAACAACAACAATGATGATGATCATGATCATGATATTGATAATGATAGTGACGATGGTGATGATGCTGCTGCTGATGATGATAATGATGCTCTTGATGATGCTGATGATGATGATGATGTAGATGGTGATAGTAATGAAGGTGATGATGATGATGATGATAATGATGAAATGATAATAATGCTGGTGATGATGATGATGATGATGATGATGATGGTAACGATAATAATGCTGATGAAAATGATGATGATAATCATGAAATAAGAATGATACTGGTGATGATGATCATTGATATCCACAGGATAAGAGCAGTCATTGACAGATATCTAGTTTGCTTTTACAGGACCAATGTAAAACAGTCTTGTACTGAATGTAATGTCCATTCAAAATATTTTAAATTAAATTAAATCCACATCACGTTTGATTATGGAAATGCTGTGTGCACCCTACCCCCATACAGTCCTTAAATTTAGTTTCCCCCTGATTAATCCTTGCTCCTCTTTTCGGTCAGGAGGAGAGCAAGCAGGCCCAGTTCTTGGCCCTGGCTATCGTTTACTTCATCTCGGTCCTGATGGTGGCCCGTTACCGTGACATCCTCGACTCAGACAACTCTCCATCCCTCTCCCGACAAAATTCCATCCAGAAGTCTCAGGTCTCTGCTCAGGACATCGAACAAGAAGTAAGTTGAACCAAGAAGTGGTTGTAATATAGTGGTTCGTAATGTTATGAACTAGAGAACATAACAGTTCCTATAGGAAATCTATTTATTCAAATGGTCATATCTTAGCTAATGCTTAACATATTCAATTAATTTTCGACATTTGGGCATTATTTGTTGGGCATTATTTGTTATGCTCTTTCAGAAAATGAAGTAAAACTTGAGGAGGAATTCTAAAAAAAGTTTTTTGGTGACGTCACACTTCACCACTCTATACCTGCCTTCCTAGATTAAAGAGTATGGCAGTGGCGTGGTAAAGCTTTTGGTTTATGAAGCTATGGACAGGCAAAATATGTGGAATGCAATGTGCTTTTTTGCACAGATCTTCATATATGACTTCTTGGTAACAGATTTATGACTGATGCTTGCAAAAGAATGATATATTTTCATTCCTTTCCTTCATATTGTGCGTCAATTAGAAATCAGAGTAAAGGTCATGCTAGTCAGATAAAAAATCAAGATTTTTTTCCATTCACTGGCCTAATTTACTTTAAACCAAATGTTTGCAGTAAATTTTTTTAATAATAGCATTGATATGAGCTTAAAATGATATTTGCTATTTTATGTTTCTTTATTCTATTTCATAGTATACTTGTATAGAGCAAGGTTAAATAATTTTTTAAAACCTCAAATGCAAAATAAGATATTGTTTTTTACCTCTGAAAAAAGATGGTAGCCTTTTGGTCCCTCATTAAACAGATAACATCAGGCTTATTAGCATTCATTGGGTTAAAGCCTGTCTGTACTAGTTTGGCCTGGGGGATTGGACCACCCTGCAAAGTCACTGACAGGTGGTTATCTTATCAAATCAGCTCGCAATTAGCATAAGAAAAAGGGGATCATGGGGGACCAACAGGCACCGATTATGCATTGTTTGCTATATAATAATAATAATAATAAATCACATTTATAACGCGCCTAATACATTGTTTCTAGGCGCAGTGGTGCTGTTGTCCCAGCAGCCATTAAGTGAAGCAATATCCTTACACGAAATGAAGCCGGGACGACAGCACCACAATAGAGGGCGCAAGTAGTTATAAGTAGTGCAGTGGGGCTTTAAAAGAAACCTTCCTCCACCCTTTCCTTCAGATGGACAACAGGGCCTCCCAGACGGCACAGGGCAGGAGACAGGTGCAGGAGGGATCCAAGGAGCACGTGGCTCCGACCGGTGCTCCTGCAGGAGCCCAAGTTTCCGTCAACCAGGAGGATGCACATGGAGTCAGGAAGGAGCCCCTTGGTGCTGCCTCCCAGGAACATGATGGAGCTCAGAGGACGGCAGAGGAGCAAATCAAGCATAATGGTATGTTTGCCTCATTTTATATATTTGTTTGATTGATTGATTCAAATTTATTCCATTTCATATATCAATTGTTTGGACAATAAAAAAGAGATTTGACAAAGTAAATTCAAAATTATGAAATGAAACATGAACCTACTGGAAAGCATAGCTTGTTTTTGTAGGCTCCCAAGAATATATATAATATGAACATTATTTCTGATACACCCCTCCCAGGCATTGATCAATTTTGTTTTCAAAGAGATAAGAGAAGTGCTGACAAGTACCTATCATACATGTATACGTATATCCAAGACCATGATTCTGTTCTTCAATCGTTTGTTCCTGTCATATTTTTATTTATTAAACTCTAAATATCCTCTATTTCTCTCTCCTCCCACCCCTGATCATCTGTATATGTCTATAAATCTATCTGCATAAATGTATATCTTCATATCTTTATGATTCTTTCATTATTTCACAATTTTTAAAGCACTTTGTCCATCTACAATGTACTTCTTTAATTGTTAGTCTTTTATTAAAGTAACATTATCTCCCTGGATGTGTTTGTGTTTTGTCTGGGAGATGCATGTATCAAACAGATATAATTACTGATGGTTTGGGCTTGATCTTTGATTAAGAAACTCCAGGGACCCGTTTCACAAAGCCTTTTTTCAATGACAAATGACAAAAATCAATCACAAATCTGCTGATAACCAATCAGAAGCAAGGATTGCAGTAGCTTATTAAAAAACTGTCATTTGTCACTGATGACAAGTTCTCTGAAACGCCCCCCAGGAGAGCTGACCAGCAGACCTATTCATACATCCATGTGTTTTTAATTATGCACATCGTCTGTTAATGTATATGAGTTAACGCCTTCTGATTCCAAACAGACAATATCATGTAGTTGTATTTTCATACCCCTCTGTTTACACAGCAGTTACTCCCACTATGAATAACAAGGAGGCGACCAGGGTACCTGCAGAGAAAGAGGGAGCGATGGAACAAGTAGATGAGGAGGAAGAAGAAGAAGAGGAAGAGGAGGATAACAGGATGAGAGAAGATCCTTCATCTCAGGATGGCAGCAGCGCTGAGCAGGAGGAGGAGAAGACAGACAAGGTCAGTATCAAGAATATTATCAAGTCTTGGGCAGTAAACAGACGGACAGACAGACACACACACACACACACAAAAGATAAGGGTTGAGGATACTTTGCCCTGAATATTGAGTCCCCACCCCCTCACCAAGTCAAGTCACAATCAAATTAATATGAACATTCTGGCTCATTAAGGAAGTACAATCTAAATTAATAATGACACTGATAATGATAATGCTAATATTAATAGACTTGATACTCCTGGCACTGCACAGTTATTACCCTGGCTTAATCATGGCTACCATAACTGTGCTCTAGCATTTCATGAAAATAATTCCTGCCGTGTACTCGTTCACATCACGTGGGTCGAGTGTGACAAATGTAGATTAATGTCTTGCCTAAGGAAGTTAGTGCTGCGGTGGGACTCGAACTGCGGTCGGATTCTAACTGTGATCCGTGTAATCCACAGCCCAGTGACACATCTATTAGACCATGACACCTCTAGCATTAGATTGTGTCAAATATTGAATCTTCTTTTAATATATATATATATATATAAATTATAAAATTAGAAATATATAAATCATACTTGCACACATCTGAATGATTGGATATGATCTGAACCATTATGTAGCTTGATATACCAGTATATAAAGTTGAGAAATTTCTTAAAAATTGAGAAATCTTACATGTACATATATTTAAAGAAGATTTGATATTTGACACCATCTCTATGCACATTGGAATAAATATTACATTTTTTGAGTCATAGAAAACTCATACTCTGATGAGGCTGTGGAATAAATTAGAATCAGTGTCCTTAGAAAAAAAGAAAAAGTCTAACTGTAGGAATCTTTATTTTATTTGACAGGAGAAGGAGATCAATGACGAAGATGAAGGCAAGTTGAAGGACACCATCGAGAATGGCCTCGATGTCAAGAAGACCCTCTCCACCAGCGACATCATCCCCACCGTCACCGAGGACATGTCAGGCAAGGACGGAGATGAGCTGCAGGAGGTCTCCTTGGAAAATGGCTCCCTAGAAGGAGACGAGGAGGAGGAGACCAAGGCCCCTACTCCGCCCACCAAGGATACCGCATCCCCAACCGCAGTCAACAAGGGCGAGGCCGGGGAGTCGACGGAGGAGGGCGGGGCTGAAGGAGCGATGCCTCCTCCGAAGGGTACATCGTCGATATCCTCCATCGTCATGGCGTCAGAGAAAGTTGGTGAGTCGGATGGTGAGTGCATGCAGGTGTGATTCCTAACCCCTGCTCCTTTTTTATTTATATTCATATTTTGATATTTTATTAATATTTTTGCAATTATATTCATATTTTTATATTTTATTAATATTTTTGCAATTATATTCATGTTTTGATATTTTATTAATATTTTTGCAATTATATTTAGATTTGATATTTTATTAATATTTTTGCAATTATATTTATATTTGATATTTTATTAATATTTTTGCAATTATATACTTGTGCCTAAAAATGAATATGTCTGTCTTGGTTATCACCGCAATGTCGGTTATACAGTTTAGAGCACTTCCTAATATTTACTTGCGATTGTGGTAAAATGAGTTTTATAGAAATATGAGAGATGGTGGCGATTCATACACACATGTACAGTGGATCCAAACTTGGTTTATTTAGGCTGTATTGTTTGAAACAAATGAAACTGACAATCTGAAATTTATTTTTCCCACTGATGATGTCCAATCAAGAAAGATGAGTTTAAAGAAAGTTATTATTCAAGTTTTATGAATATATATGCTCTTGTGATATATAATTTGAGATGCATATTCCTAAAACAGTCTCATTGTTACCTTTGTTTTGCACTAAATTGATTATGCTCACTCCGCTTAGAAGGTTAAACAGCTTATCTGTATTTAATATTCATGTATCTGTGCAGTATATCACTTTCCCTATAAAAAGGCAATCAGTATTCCAATATGACATCATTTTCATCCTGTTTTGTAAATGTGCTTATACTGTACATACATTTTCTAATGGACTTTGCAGTGATTAAACAAAAAATATTGCTCTTATCATATGTTTAACTTTTATAGCCTGAATGTTTTCCTTCATGTTTACGTAGCCTGGTTTGTTGTTGATATTATCACTGACTGTACCCTACCGTATATAATTTATGTGTGTGCACAATGCATTATGTTTTGGTTTGTTAGTCCATAATCTCTGCAGGCTTAGCTCTTCCATTACCAAAAATTTGTTATACAATTAAGGTTTATTCATGGCTTTTTTGTCTATGGCACTATCAGAATTAATTATGCGACTGATAATTTCTGATTGAAATACAAATTTGCTCTTTGAATTTTGAAGTAAATTAGAGGTTAAACACCATAGGATCACAAATCTGTGGCAGGAAGTTTGTACAGGCTTAAATAAATGAGATTTTTCTTTTTGATTTGGAACACATTTCTTTTTTAATTCCAACAAAAATCTGTATACCTGAGAACAAACAAATTTGAATATATTGTTCTCTTTTGGCTCTTACTTGTATTTGCTAAATATATTGGTTGAATTTTTCAAGCTTGTAATTTATGTTTGGAAGCTTAACATTTCTCTTGAGAAAAAGTTACTGATCTTACCATAATACTAGGGTTTCAAGTGTGAAGCATATTGTTATAGGATTTGAGTATTAATGGTCTCATTCATAACCCTCCAGAAAAGCGACCAATTCACACTTGGCCATGGACAGGAACCAAGAATGGTGAACAACCACCTGGTGCCCAGGGCACAGGTACCGCCGGTCTCGATGCCCCTGTACCACCCGGTGAAACCCCCACTGTCCAATACACCAACACCCCTCTACCAGCAGAAGTCCAGGAGAAGTCTGGGCTCTACCGGCCCCCACCCCTGGATCTGTCGGGCATGGCTGAAGGGTCGATGGCCCCTTCCCTGGCAGAGAAGAAGCTGGTGGCTGGGGCATCGGAAGGCACTGTTGAAGAGAGATTGACCAAGGCCTTGGAGACGGCTGCTCCACTCCTAAGAGAGATCTTCCTAGACTTCGCTCCCTTCTTGTCCAAGACACTGCTTGGAAGCCACGGTCAGGAGCTTCTGATTGAAGGTATGGCTTGTTTAACCCATTAGCAACTGGAGATTTTGTAAAAATGGCCAATTACTCACTGGAAGATGTTGCAATATTGCCCTCATTTTTACATTCTTCTGAACAATATGAAACATGCGCTATTTTTCTATGCAGAATCCTACTGTAGTCATCGTAAGGATAACATTATAATGGTAGACCCTACAACGAATACTATAGTGCATTGACAACGGACGGGCAGTTTCAAGAAATGCATATACGTGCAGGCAACATTGAAACACTCAAGATCCAGATTTAAGCTGTAATTCTTTGTTTAACTTGATTAAACATAGCACATATCAACTTCGAAAATTCTCTTGTGTGTCTTACGAAGGAAAACTAGCAATGTTCTTGCAATCTAAATATGTCAATATCAATCATAATTAACAGATTAGTGAGAGTCAGAAAATAATCCTTGTCAGCTATTCTGTGGTTTTGTGTGGGGTCCAGAAAATATTCCTTCTGAAGAACATTATAATTGTGTAACACCTAAACCTATCTATTGGTATTCACTCTCCTGCTCTTCCAGGGCTGATAACCATGAAGTCATCCAACTCCGTCATTGAGCTTGTCATGATGCTGTGCTCTCAGGAGTGGCAGAACTCCATTCAAAAGCACGCTGGCCTGGCCTTCATAGAGCTGGTCAACGAGGGCAGGCTTTACTCTGGCCTGACGAGGGAACACCTCCTGCGTGTGGCCAATGAGGCGGAGTTCATCCTCAGTAGGCACAGGGCGGAGGATGTTCAGAAGCATGCAGAGTTTGAGGTGAGCCTGAGGCTGTGGGTGAAAAAATGATGGCTTGAAGAATCTCCAGGGTTACAAAGAGTTGATATTAATCGTAACTTATTTGCGACTGATATCAATCGCAACTATGTACATAAGAGATAGGAGATTGCAAAGTTGCGATTGATCAGAGGACTTGCAATTGATTTGAATCAATCGCATCTCTTTGTAAGAAGAGGGCTTGGATGGGTTACCTGAGCATGCTGAATACCCTGGCAAATAAAAAACGATCTAGCAAACGAACAGATGAAAAAGCCTCCAGCAGTGTAATGTATCTGTGTGAGGGTGTTTCCAGGCAAGAATTTTAAAGTTACAGACTGTTGCAATTTGCGCCTTGAGGATTGGTTACCAGAACATGCTGAATACCCTGTTTAAATAAAAACAAACCAGCAAAAGGAGAAAATGAAAAAGCCTCCAACCATGTAATGTGTCTGTATGTGTGAGGGTGTCCAAGTCAAGAATTTTAAAGTTACAGACTGTTGCAATTAGCGCCTCAAGTAGATGTAAATATCAACACTTGGTTTTGGTAGCTACCCTTTACAGATGTAAAGAAAAATAGACCTTAATCATAAATGTGCTTGCATTCTTATTTCGTGTTGTAATGGTCTTCTTAATGGTAATGATAATAAATACTTATAAAAGCCCACTTATCTAATAACTTACTGAAGGCGCCATACAAAAAAAAAAAAAATATATATATATTTAAGTAGTAACTCTGAGTAAATAAAACCGTTTTAACATGTTCCTGAAAGGTTCCTGGGCATTGAATGTCAACGTGTGTAGGTAGACAACTAAGAAGTTGTCAATTACTAGAAGCAAACTAATTTGTATGGGACCTGGAATACCCCAGTTTTAATAATTCTGCCTTTTGAACACTAATCTGTCCTCTTTCAGTCGTTATGCGCTCAGACGTCAATGGACTGTCGAGAGGAGGAGAAGATGTGTGATCACCTGATCACCGCCGCTAAGAGGCGGGACCATATCCTGGCCAGTCAGCTCATCCAGAAGACCCTCAATATCCTCACCAACAAGCATGGTGCATGGGGGAAATTGACAGAAGGGTAAGATTGAAATCAAGTATTTTTTACCTTGGGTGTTATAGAATAGTTCAAAAGGGGAGGGGAGATGCCAGTCAATTTTTTTATAAGAGGCGGGCTGCATCTCAGTCTTTCAGTGCATCTAGAAGACACTACACATCCTCACCAACAAGTATGGAGCATGGGGAAACATGTATGAGGGGTAAGACTACAGTCCTGTACCTAGGGTTTGTCACAAGAACAGTTTGAAGAGGGTGGGTAATGCCAATCCCAATTTAGTTTATAGAGATAGGATCGCATCTTAGCCAGTCATTGCATCAAGAAGATGCCCAACATCTTGACAAACAAGCCCGGAACATGAGGAAAAATGGAAGAAGGTTAATATGGAAGTCAAATTAAACAGTCCTTTGCACTTGGTGGTTCTAGAACATTTTGAGTTTAGGGGGATGTTAGGGTAAGAACCAATGGACCGGCAAAGGATAAATCTCCCCAACTTTGCAACTTTGCAGAAAACAGAAATGGGGAGGAGATGGGGAGGGTAGTTGGACTCCATTTACTGACAAGATTGCGAATAGCTTTATTATTTACAACTTTACAGATATCGATAATGGATTTCCAGAGAGTAATTTCTTGCCGTTGGCCTATGACCCGTATCAAGGATTTGTTTATTCATGTCACATGTTAACTTGTTGATATTTCTTACGTGACATTCTTATCAAATGAACCGTGATAATCATGATTAAAAAAAAATAGCCTACCGTATTACGGTTATAGATGGAAACATTCAAAACAAATTTTGTTTCTTTCCCTTGTACAGGCCAAGGGAGTATTTCCGCTTGGATATGTGGGAGGATAATACGAGACGTCATCGCCGTCTGGTGCGTGACCCATTTGGATCCTCACACACAGAAGCGACTCTGAAAGCAGCCATCGAGCATGGTATGAACCACAATTCTTTGAATATTTCTCTGTACTAAATGTTTTTGCTAATTTTTTTTGCATTTAAGGACAAGCTTGATCAACCAGAGGGGCGTAGACAAAAAAAATCTGCCAAAAAGGCATGGCTGAAGTGGCCTTTAACTTTGTTGCGTTGAAGTAGGAGGTATTCATCTTTTCATATATCTCTTTACATTAGGGTTTGAAAGGTTTAAGATGTACAGGCAAGCCATTCTGGCCAATCAGAGGGGCACAAATCAAGTGAGATCATACAAAAATGTCATACCAAAAGTGGTAATTTGCTATGTCAATTTGAAAGTGGCATTTTAGCCACTATGTAGGGCAACAATACCAAGTGTTGTATGACCTATAAGAAAGGCCTCTTCCTATACTACTCTTGATATTTAGTTGAGAATACTACAAACAGAAATCAAATGAAATAGAATCAAATTCTTTCTGTATGGTATCAATTCAATTCAATTTTAATTTAATTCAATTCAATTCAATTCAATTCAAGGTTTTATAGGGCAACAATACCAAGTGTTGTATGACCTATGAGAAAGGCCTCTTCCTATACTACTCTTGATATTTAGTTGAGAATACTACAAACAGAAATCAAATGTAATAGAATCAAATTCTTTCTGTATGGTATCAATTCAATTCAATTTTTATTTAATTCAATTCAATTCAATTCAAGGTTTTATTTTTAAAAAAACATAAGAGTACAAAGATGCAAATACTGCAGCTAAAAAGCTGAAATGTATATGTTTACAAGTATTGAGGATACATATAAATAGAAAAGAATATCCATTCCTATAGGTGAACCTGAAGATGTAGTAGAGAAGGCCAAGCAAGCCCTCCATGCCCAGATAGCATCTAAGCAGCGTGGCTCACAAGCTTCTGATGCTGCTGAAGAGGATGAGACAAGCATACAAGAGGATGCAGAACTGGAGAACGAGCTCGAAGGTTTGTCTCTTCCCATTCAAAGCACATCAACATCCAATTTGATATCCCCCTTCAGTTTTCTTATTTCCTGTTTATATTTGCTCATCTTCCATCCTTTCATACTCTCACTTTTTATTCTGTTTTACACTCTTTTTCATTCCTTTCATACTATCATCCATTCTATTCATACATTTTCTATTCCATTCACATTGTCTTTTATTTCATTCATGCTATCCTGTGCCACAATCATATGTTAATCTTACATAATCTCATTTTTATGGTAAAGCAACAACATCATTCATTTCTCTATGGAATTCTCACTCCTCTCTTTTTCCTCTCTCTTCCTCTGATTCTTTTGGTTTAAATGCAAGAGTGTATAAGATCCGTTCTTGATATGTGTCATGTGCTTGGATAGTTGAGGTATTATGAGGTCGATGATATGAAACCACTTTCATACTTCTGTATTAATCATTATTCCTCCCCAAGAGATTTGAACCCAACTATTCACATACACAATCACCCAGTAGTTCAAATATTTTATCAAGATTACCAAGGTGTATTTCATCCAAAGGGCTCTTATATTTTGTACTTTTATATTGGTATAATATGAAGTCACTTTTATACTCTCTTTACAGTTAGTATACTGTGCACATCTAAAGAGTTTGTTTTAAGAATAAAATCTCTAGGGTATTTAGATGTTGCTACTTTTATTGTACTTTCCCCTTTAATGCCTCAACCCTCAAATATTACACTGAATTAAAGGCAGCAAGTTGAAACTAACTATTTACAATAGCTGCATGAATTTTCGAACCATCTACAAATATCATCAACACAAATTTTCTTATTTTTCCTGTTTCCAATATATTTTTGTTTTTTTATTTTTTATTACGGCACTCCATCATTTTGACCTTGTGTGGTCTCCAGCACCTGCAGGTCGTCCTGTATTACTTGGCATGATGCATGATTGCAAGCACTCAATCAGTATCAAATTGGCAGAAGGTGAATTAATGGAATTATGTCGTGTTTGTCGCCCTCTCTTAGTATGAGTGTGCACAGTTGGAAAGGAGACTACTCCATGCATCAACTTTCTTTCTGAGTCTGTTCAAGAGGGATCAGTCTCTGCTTCTTTCTGAGTCTGCTCAAGAGACAAGTCATTGCTTTCTTTCTGAATCTGCTCAAGAAACTAGTCTCTGCTTTCTTTCTGAGTCTGTTAAAGAAGGATTAGTCTCTGCTTCTTTCTGAGTCTGCTCAAGAGACTAGTCATTGCTTTCTTTCTGAATCTGCTCAAGAAACTAGTCTCTGCTTTCTTTCTGAGTCTGTTAAAGAAGGATTAGTCTCTGCTTCTTTCTGAGTCTGCTCAAGAGACTAGTCATTGCTTTCTTTCTGAGTCTGTTCAAGAGACTAATCCCTGCTTTCATTCTGAGTCTGTTCAAGAGACTAATCCCTGCTTTCATTCTGAGCCTGCTCAAGAGACTAGTCATTGCTTTCTTTCTGAATCTGCTCAAGAGACTAGTCTCTGCTTTCATTCTGAGTCTGCTCAAGAGACTAGTCATTGCTTTCATTCTGAGTCTGCTCAAGAGACTAGTCATTGCTTTCATTCTGAGTTTGCTCAAGAGACTAGTCATTGCTTTCTTTCTGAGTCTGTTCAAGAGACTAATCCCTGCTTTCATTCTGAGTCTGCTCAAGAATCTAGTCATTGCTTTCATTCTGAGTCTGCTCAAAAGACTAGTCATTGCTTTCTTTCTGAGTCTGCTCAAGAGACTAGTCATTGCTTTCATTCTGAGTCTGTTCAAGAGAATAGTCATTGCTTTCTTTCTGAGTCTTCTCAAGAGACTAGTCATTGCTTTCATCTGAGTCTGTTCAAGAGAATAGTCTATGTAAAAGACTAGTCTCTGCTTTCATTCTGAGTCTGTTCAAGAGACTTGTCTCTGCTTTCTTTCTGAGTCTGCTCAAGTGACTAGTCTCTGCTTTCATTCTGAGTCTGTTCAAGAGAATAGTCCATGCTTTCTTTCTGAGTCTATGTACAAGACTAGTCTCTGCTTTCATTCTGAGTCTGTTCAAGAAACTAGTCTCTTTTTCTTTCTGAGTCCTTACACAAGACTAGTATCTGTTTCCACTCTGAGACTGTTCAAGAGACTAATGTCTCCCTTTATACTGAGTGTTTATGTATGCAGGAGACTCGATCTGCTGTCATTCTTGGTCTGTTCAAGAGACTATTCTCTGCTTTCATTCTTAGTGGGTGGAGGAGACTTTGCTGTTTACATGTACCTTGCTCATTTAGCAGAATCTTTTGCATTAATACTACATGTACATTTTAATGCTTGTGTTGCTACTTTTTCATAACTGATATCTGCATAACTGCATTATTGACTATTTGCCAGAAGAGTTGCTGTGTACCTATATGCCTGTCCTCTCCTGGTGTGAATAAACAAAAGTTGTGCAGGAGACTAGTATCTTTATTCACACTGAGTCTTTGAAGGAGACTAGGCTTTCTTATTTCTGCCCTGTAAACTTATGATAACCGTAAAACCAGACAAATTTTTGTACATAAGCTTTTTTCTTGCGATTTTAGGTTTTTAATTGTAAGTTTTTTTCTTTCAATTTTTAGTTTTTTATTTTCAACTTGAAAACTAGCCATTATGACCAATTTATGAGAGTTCCATGTGGCAAAGTTTTTCTCTCAGTTTTAGCTGTGTTTTTATGTTCAACATGATCTCTTTAGGTGCTTCTGTATAATGCCTTGACAAAGGTTTTGTCTTTTTATTGTCTGGAAGGCTTTTTGCTTGATTGTGTGTCTGCATTATTTCTCCATCACTTGTACATAATTACATCAATTAGCATTGTATCATAACCAACATTGATCCTGATTGTTCAGTGAATTCTATGGCTTTTTATTGTTGGGATATTTCCCCCAGTCCTCTGTTTATCTAGTCAGGTAATTTTTGCGCATAGTTTGAAAGAAACATATAACTTTCTGTATGATTTGTCATTTGAATTTATAATGTTATATCATGTGATACAGTTTGATACCTGGAAAACTGATGCTCTCTTTCTTTCGTTTTACATATTGCGTTTTCCAAGATCCTTGAATTCTTCTTTCACTGGTTTTGTATGCATTCAACTGCTTGGTTACATTATCAGTTTGATTTTCAGTTTTATTGTATTGTTTAGCTTGCCTACATGTATAAAAGCTTTATTACTTTCATTAGGTAAACATGTATTACAAAATTAATGTTAGGCACTTAACATTCTTATTTCTATAGTAAGTCTTTGATGTAGATAAAGATACAGTACTCTCTATTAAACTGAAATTCAAGTTAACTAGATCTCTATCACTAGCTGATCAGGGAAGTGTTTCACAAAGATCCTAAGTTGATCTTATAACTAAGTTGGACTGAACAATTATGAAAAGCCATTAGCATCTATGAAAATATTTTTCAAAGTCATTTTAAAAGGCATAAAATGTTGATTTAAATCATTCGTATTTTCTATTATCAAGGAGATTTCATGTTGTTGATGTGAAATTTATGAAAAGTCTAAAATACTTGAATTTTCACTAATGAATATTTTTTATTTTTAGGCTACAAATGGCTCTCCATAATTTTTAAGTCCAACTTAGAGTTCAGTTCGACTTAGGATCTTTGTGAAACACCCCCCAGGATAAAGGTTTTTGCCGTAAATGCGGATCAGTCTGGTTGTAATTGGTTGATACTACAAAAGTATTCCCTTTCATTGACCAATCATGATCAAGGGTTGAATTATGAATAGTACAAGACTATACAAGGCAGACCCTTTATGACATATAGTACAAAAGTTAGAATCAAATAATTCCTGACAGTGTCCCATGTTATTTGCTGTTACATGATGGGCTAATTCACAATGTGTCCGTATTTGTCCTATTGCTCTCAGCTTCATGAAGTTTGCACAAGTAGTCCATATCATTCTTGCTCGAATAAATAAAACTTGACAGGGACTTTTTTTGTTGAAAGATTGTTTGATAATCTTGACAATTTAGTTGCATTCATCTTCAGAGTGTGCATAGGTCATTGCACTTTGACTTTCAATTCTCTGAAGAAGTATCCATTACATTTAGAAATACTTCCTTATTACTTTGATATCCTTCTCCCACCTTCCAGTTAAGATACTGGCACATACAATCACTTTCAAGTGCTGCCAATTTGTAAGATTAGCCAAGTAAAAAAAAAGGAAGAAGAAGAAAAAAATCAACAAAATGCATATTGATGCTTACCAAATCTGTACAGGGGCTTTAAGAGGGAGACACTTTAGAAACTTAAGAAACAATGAGGGGCCCTTGTACTTTAAAAAGATGTAAGTTTGGAATCTTAGACCAGTTTCTACAAACCATTATAAGTCCAAGTTCGCGGACATCCCATAGATATGCATGTTAAAGAATTAAAGGCATTTCCATTTGATGTCCGTGAACTTGGGCTTACAACTTTTTCAAGAAACTGGCCCCTGGGGAATAAACGGTCAAATGCAAGTGGGAAAATGCGGAAAAGGCTTTATCTGTCATGCACGTCATAAGAATTTGGCATTCTGATCTTCAAAAGATGGCCCATTCTGCCGCCAAGTTAATTGGGTTGACTTTGAAAACTTGATGTGTACCCATGTCTATGGCCCTAATTTGATTTCTCAAATTTGTCCTGACATTACGGAACATGTGCGAGGATCCTGCTATTATCATCGCCATCTTGAACACGGGAAGCCTAGTTGCAAATAGGCGTTATTCCTTAATCGGTGATTTCCATCCAGAGGTCAAGTGTGCATTTAAAAGCTGATAGGGAATTGGCATCATCTCAGAAAATCCGAGATGGAATTTTCCCATCAATAAAATGAATTTTAACAGCTTGTTATTCTTGAAATCATGCATATCTGAATTTTGAATATCTGTTATGAAAGTAAAATCTACTTAACTCTCGTTCTTCTTATAAGAAATTACATAAGAGTCAGATTTAAAAGAAATTTGTCCTTGTACAAGACGTTTTGGCTTAGCTGGTACATTTAGATTACCTTTACCAGTAATACTTTGAATATAAATTACCATCGTCACAATTATTGATTGATAGACAATTTCCTTGAAAATACCTTATCTATTCCCGGCCTTGTCCGCATTTTAACAAAGTGGTTGAAAATGACGCGACTCCGTTCTGCAACTTACGTTGTTCTGTTGTCATTGTGGGCTATTTCAGCACAGAGGAAGCAACAATTAGGGCATATGTCCAATATGTAGGAAGTTTAGAAGGAAATTGGGGCAGAAAAGTGGGAGAATAGTGCCTAAGAAGAAAAAGCAAGAAAGTGTTTCTGAAAAAGGGGAAGGAATTTTGAAATGGTATCTAAATAAGCAGACATCATCGCCAGATATGTATCTCCCTCGCATATAACAAGTAGTAATTTGTAATATCCTCTTTAAAGTGTTCAATTCTTCATTACTCTTAAGATGATGAATGTTGGCACCTGAGTAAAATCAATCTTATTAGAAGTTGAACGAGTAGTGTTTGGAAGATTTATTTCAACATATATGTAAATCCAACAATGTTGTCATGGTAGAGGTACTAGTTAGGTTTCTGAAGTAGTTACAAAATCTTTTTGTTATCCATATAATTTGTCTTCTTTTCCTCCTTTTCATGCCTATTCTTCTTCTTCTTCTTCTCCTTCTTCTTCCTCTTCTTCTCTTTCTTCTTTCTCTTCTTCTCTTTCTTCTTCCTTTTCTTTTTCTTCTTCTTCTTATTATCATTACTGTTATTCCTGTTATTGAAGTTATTTTTTTATTATACAAACGCATACTAGTAGTCAGTTGTAGCAGTAGTAGTAGTAGTAATATTAATAATAAAATAGATTATTTTTATTTTGTTATTAGATGCATATTCATTAGCACCTCCATTAATTTCTCTTGACTCCTGTGTTTCATTTCTTAACTCTCATTTACTGAAAACTCTTTTAGCTGCTCTTTACATCTGTTGAGGCCATTTAATGTGGCATTTCTTTATACCTATTTTGGTAAAGTGTATGTGTACATGTATGATAACTTTGCAACTGTATTCATTTTCCTTTTACCACTATTTTCATAGATATTTATGATGTAATGTTGTTTTAGTTTTTATTGGCGTGTATCATTCATTTATGAATATTTACGCCACTTTCTGTTAGCCTTATCACAAGTTAGTGCCTTTGTTTTTAGAGCCACAGTCTGTATTTTGATTCTTGTTTAAATTTAAATGCTAGATATTCTGTAGTATGTGGCTGAACTTTGAATAGCTGTATATATATACAGGTAGTTTACTCAAGGAGACCAAACCATTAGACCATGCTCACAAGGTGTTGGGTTCAAATCCCTGCCAAAGCACTATTAATGGCCCTTGGCAAGACACTAATCTACACTTGCCACTTTCAACCCAGGTTTGATAAATGGGTACCCACTTGCAATAAATTCTGCCAGGTTCAAGCTGGCATAATAAATAACTCAGGCACCTCTGAATAGTATAACTAGATACAAATGTAGGTAGTGCATTATATCATTATTTTATGGTTGGTACTCAAAATGAAAGAGGGAAACAAAATCTTACTCTTTCTTGTCATTAGGTCCTGTAGTTTACACCACCTCTGCTCAAATGATTGCACCATGCGTCGTCACCAAGGGAACGCTGTCCATCACTTCGGCTGAGATGTACTTTGAGGTGGATGAGGATGATGCCAGCTTCAAGGAATCGGACCCAAAGGTAGGAAAGAAAACTTGCATGCCTGTCTTGGTTTTCTGGTGTTTGTTGTGCATTGTATTGTGACAAATGTTAAGAAAGAAGAAAAAAATAAGGCCTGACAATTTCTATTATTCTTTGTTTTTTGGCACACGTTGAGAAAGAAAGAAAGAAAGAAAGAAAGAAAATACGAAAGATAAAGAAAGAGAGATGAAAAAAAAAAAAAACAGTGATGTTTCATGAGATTTAAGTGATTTCAAATGGAAAGAATACTAACATATTGGTGTTGAGACTTTTGCAAAAATTTTGTTGGCTAGATATTTTGTGGCTGCTGCTTTATCAGGCATTTTACCATAAAGGAAAAAATCGGCATCTCCTGTGCATGTGGTGTTTCATTGGTAGTTGTGTTTTTGTGTATTATTTTTGTGAAGTAATACATCATGCATATTTTGTTGAGTACATATATATATCATATCACTTGCAGCTGAAAAATAGTTTCTTCATATGTATGAATTCTCTCAAATTTAGAGCTACATGAATTTTTGCATCAGTAAAAATGAAAGTATCACTAGTTTGAAGGATTAGAAAAGGTAAGAAAATATGCAATTATTGTTTTTTAAATGGAAGGAATGTTTCCTCTTCTTCCTTTAAAAAAAAAATCATCATTCAGACAATGTGTTCTTGCAAATCTTTTCCAAATTTGGGGATTGGAATCAGGAAAGGTGCTGTACTATCTGCTGCACAAGTACACTGAACTCCCCCCTTCTTGTCATATTTTTCAAATGTCCAGATAGTTACGGTAAACTTGAACATTCAACCTATAGACAGTTACGGTCTGTTTTCCGATTACGGGGGCATGATCAATTTCCTTCCCCTTATCAAACGATCATAGAATCCTCATCTTGGCAGCTGGGGGGTACCGACCCATCGATCACAGGGAGCGGGACATTTAGGAACTATCCGCAACGCCCTCATACCATCATTAAAAGAGCATCAAACATTCAGAATGCTTGCTCCATCAGGGGTAAATGACTGCATCCATTTTCCCAGCTGGTAGACAAAGGTCTCCTTTCTGACTTTGGTGGGAGAGTACCCTGGTGATCTTTGACCCTCTTTTTCCCCCACTATGCTACACATCAACCTCTGAGCACTGTTGTAAAACTTTAGGGTTTCTGTTTGGTTGTCGTTGAAGGATCAGGGAAAAACAACAGCAACTGCATCAAGAGAGAGATTGAATGGTAAAGAGATAAGAGTGAGGCAAAAGAAGGACGAAACTCATATATAGATATATATAGGGATGTCAAAGAGATAATAGCAACAGATATAAAATAGGGAGAGAGTTTGGTAGAAAGAAAGTGAAATAGCTATCAAAGTCGATGTGGACTGATAGGGAGAGAGGATGAGAAAAGGGGGAAAGGAATATGTGCAATATAGTGAGAGAAAGATACTGAAAATTAACAGGATGAGAGGTAGGGGAGCGATTCAATGGTGATATCGAGGAATCGGATATAAGGTAGGCAGGGTAAAGAAAGATATAAATGTTGTCTCAACTTGAGACAATAGGGCGACATACAAAGACAGGAAGAAGGAGGGAGGGAGAAAGAGAGAGAGAGAGAGAGAGATTGAGACTGAGAGACAGAGGGAGGGAGGGAGAAAGAGAGAGAGACATACAGAGAAAGAGAAACAGAGAGAGACTGAGGGAGGGAGTTTGGTTTCAGATCGCTACCAATGCATCCTAAACTGTGAATGAAACCACCTCCTTGCAGTAGTAGACCCCGAAATAGAAATCAAGGCTACCACCTTTAAGTGTCCCTCCAAGTATCTCTCCCCATCACCATCAATAGATCTGATAATTAGAAATTCATTCCAGCAGATGAGACCCACGACTCGACCGACTCCAGTGGTAGCTTCTTCTCCTTCTGATCGCAAGGAGAGGAAGACCACTTAAGCCCAATTCAGACTGGTAGAACTTATCGTATATCTATTAGAAAACCTAAAATGTGCCATATATTGTGACATTGTATAGTGAAATGGAGGTTTAAGCTTAGTTTTAATGTAAACATTATGAACAAATTGGGTTTGTCACTCATATGAATATTGTATGGGATGAAATGGGTGGGGCATATCTGTATGATTTTAATATATCTTTTTTTGGTGTCTCAATTTTGTATATGTATATGTTTAGCTGATATGAATGGCTTGCTGTAATTTTACCCTGGAGCAAAGGGCATGATACGGTATGACCTACTCAAACAAGCTTTGTTTTACTGCACCCCTCTGTATTGAAGCCCCATTTAGCTTTACAATGATATACAATGTTTCTCTCTATAAATTTGGTATAGATTTTCTCTTTTATGTAATGCTTCATTTATTCCTCCATACAATATTCTCAGCCTGTATGTAAGCTTCTTTCACAATACCTTGATTCTTTGTATAAAGTTTCTTTATTCATATCTTGTATAAATATTCACTCGTGTGAATGCCCTCTTAGGTCTTAGTGAATTGTGATGAGGTCTGAAGGCACAAGATAACAAGAGCCTGGCAAGGTGAAGTGTTGAGATGACACTCACTGATTTGATTTATCCTACAAACCTCTGTCTATCTTTAAAGGCATGGTGAAGTGTTTGTAGATGGTAACAAATTCGACAAAAG